TTAGTAAGAAGGAATGTGATCATCAAACAACTTTGCTAACATCATTAGCACTTACAGAAACTAAAAGGGTAACATCAAAAGAAGAAAAAAAGATTTTTGCCATTGAATACACCCACTTCAAATACTGGATCACAGTTGCAAAGTGATATGGTCCAGGATAGTACTTTTAAACAGTATTTTTGGTTACCAGGAAAGCACTATCAGATTACCTGAGAAAATTGATCAATCAAAGAAATCTATGTCAATTAAGGATCTGAATAATAGCATAATACTTTCAGATGCCAATTCAAAAATAGTTCCATTAAATCATGACAAACATTCATTGAAAGAGAATTTGGTGTTAATGAGAATGTGTATCTAAGAAATTATGGGAGAAAGGAAAAATGGATACCAGGTCAAATTGTTCAATGTACAGGACCTGTGTCTTATAAAGTTAAAAATAACTTGTGCAGATAATAAGTGTGAATCTATCAATCCCACCAAATCTGAACAGTTCACACCAACTCAGTTTGTTCCACAACCAAGTTCTGTTGATATGAGTGAACCAAGTTGTCTGGAGTCAGAAAATGTAAATTCTGGAGTTAATGATTTAAATCCTAGACCTCCTGAGATAGAGAATCCAGATGGTCAGAATCTTGAGTCACCAAATCAAAAGCCACTGAGAAGGTCAAGCAGGACAATCAAAGTCCCAAATAAGTTAGACCTATGATTCTAAGGGTCAAAAGGACTTTGACATCATTGTTTTGTATCTTGATTATGTTGTAGCATATTGTGCATTGTTTGCAAGGATGTAATCTACCATAGTGTTCATGTTACAATATAATTGGTGATTTTAGGATACTATCAATTGTTCTATTGAGAGATGTGTTATTGTGTTCTAAGGGTAAAGGGATGTAATAGATTGAAATAATTGTGAGGTCAAGGGAACTCACTCTCTGTATTAGTATTATATTTATATTGTTATCTTGAGTGATGTCCCTTACATGTTGTTATCTATATATAGTGGTCTCTGGCCACTTCTCTCTCTCTCTTTGCACCATGGCGTCTGTACATAATAAAGACTGTTAACAACCAACGCGGCTTCTCGTCAGTCATTACAATCCACCTCAATGATGTTGCCTGAAAACACCAGCGTTGAAAAGAGGTGATTGAACAATGCAGTTATTTAATTTATTAATTAGCCTATGTTTTATAATAAAATATTAATATAACGCAAAATAAATAAATAAGTTAAATAAGTAAATAAAAAAAAACCGCACAATGCAACTCGATGACTACATGTAGATCTATAGTCTCATTATCTTTTCCCGTTCGTGCCCAGACACAAGGGGCAGAGGAAAGGGTTCATCTGTTTTAACATCCACGGACGGTAATCAACAGGGGCGGAACTACTATGCCGGCAGACCCCCGCAATGGGGGGGGGGGGGGTGCAGGCCTTTTAGGGGACCAAGTAGGACCCCAAAATAAAAAGAATTTTTTTCATAAATAATGTTTTACGTGCAACTTGAGAGTGGTTTTGTAAAAAAAAAAAAAAACAGGTCTACTATAGCAGCGATTGTTCAGCAGTAACTCACACACATTGTTGCCTAGAAAAATGTTTTAAAATGAGCTGGAGACTAGTGTGAAAGATAAGCAAACGTTCACACTACTTTTATGACATATCGCCCCTTTTAATAGTTTTGTAATAAGTAAATTAAAAAGCAATAATTGCATCTCTTAATTATTATTCAAATAATAAATACTAAAGAATGGCATAGTTATAAAAAGGAACGCATTCAAAATTAATAATATAAATACAAAAGATCTTAAAAATAAACAGAACGCAAAAAACCATAAAACAAATCAACCTACGTATTTATGATTTTTTAAACGGCTCTCTCAATTGGTTTTAATAATTCTGAAATTACATAGCAGTATGAGTATTACAGAGAACCTTATCCCACTGTCGTTTTTCAGGCTCCAAATGTATTATATATATTATTTTTTTTCTGGTTTGTTGTCTCAGGGAAGTTATACTTTGAAATGAAATCTATATATGTAATTCTCTTCTTGGAGACCCTAGAAAACAAGCTGTAAGCGCGCTCCCTACAACTAAGAGGAGTTTACTTTCACGGGGGGGGGGGGGGGGGGGGTAGGGGTTGGGGAAAGGAGGGGGTTATCGTCCTTAACGAGCTACTGATAGTGTTTGAAAGCAAATATTTTCAGTGGCAGCGTTGGTATTGTCGAATTAACAAATTATGAAAAGTAGAGTAATAAAACAACTAAATAGCGGCGTATCATAAGCTGCGGGTCGGCTCGTATCTATATCTATATATATAATTCTCCTCTTCGAGCCGTTAGAAAACAAGCTGCAAACGCTCTCCCTACCTCCCCACCCCTACATGGTTTTAGTGAGCTGTGTTCACTCTAAATGTTTACAAGCAGAGCCAACGATTTTAAACGTAGGGGGGGGGGGGGGGGGGGGGGAAGGAAGGGGGGTTATGGTCCTTAACGAGCTACTTATAGTGTTTTAAAGAAATATTTTCAGTGTCAGCGTTGGTGCTGTCGAATTCACAAATTATGAATTATTGAAAATTAGAAACAACTAAATAGCGGCGTATGTTATGCCGCGGGCCGGCTCGTATTATTTATTTTCACAACAAAACACAACGATGGATATTTACTATTAGTGAGACTAATGATATTGCCTTCAAAGACCAGCGTTGAAAAGAGGTGTTAAAACTACGCAGTTATTTAATTTATTTATTAGCCTATGTTTTTAAATAAAATAACGAAAAAAAAAAAAAAAAAAAAAAAAAAAAAAAAAACAACAACAACAAAAAAAAAAAACAGCTGCGCTCAATGCAAAACGATGACTACATTTATATATAATCTCATTATCTTATCTCGTTCGTTCGTACCCAGAGTTTCTTCCAGGCATCTTACCGCCCCCCCTCGAACGAAATGAAATTTATATAATTTATATAGAAAATATATACTTTTAACAGTGTGCGCCCCCCCCCCCCCCGAAGAAAGTTTACCGCCCCCCCCCCCCCGAAGATTTCAAGTGCCCCCCGGAGAAAAAAGTCTGGAAGAAACACTGTCGTAATCGTACCCAAGACACATAGGGCAAGGGAAGTAGGAAGTAGAGGTGTCGTCCATAAATGACGTCACACTCGTAGAAGGGAAGGTGTCCGTAATCCTATGACGGTGTGTGATAGGGGTGGGGGGGGGGGGGGTTCAGATAGTGTGACTTCAAACTTTTGCATTATTAAAAAAAATGCTAGAAAACTAATTTTAGCCATTATTTCGCGTTTTAGAAAACTGTTTTATTAAATTGTAATAGACATCGATTAAAACAGCCTATGTCGACAGTTCAGATAAGATTTGGGAAAAATATCGCTGTTTTAAGAAAAAATTAACTGCAATTTTGAAGGGGGTCGCATAGGCTAAGGTGTGACGTCATTTTAGGGGGTTCTGGCTTTTTGTGGCGATGTGTGGTGGAGGGGCCAAGGGGGTTGGAGGTAAAAATCGTCCAAAAAAGCGTGATGTCAATTATGGATGACCCCAGGGTTCATCTGTTTTAACACGGTAATCATGGGGAGGGGGACAACAAGGCCAGCCGCCTTGGTTTCCTTAATATGAGTCAGGTGCCCATTAGAGTAGGGTAGACACGTTTTATACCAATTAACGTCATTACGATCTTTCTTCGTGCTTTAACTTTAACATTCTTTATAATAACATATTAAATTTTGATTGCAGACAAATCTATTTGTAAATCTAATTGTAATAAGCTAAAATATATGTTAAATTTGAATTGTAATCATTGCTCAAATAGCAAATAAAGTAGGCTATACAATTACATGTGTACACAGATGTGTATTTAATGATTTCCATTGCTGTTGTTTATCTTAAATTTAAAAAAAAAATTACATTATGTGTAAAAACATTACAACTTAGGTTTTATTGTGTTATTTTTATTGTATTTTTTTTCTTGTTGTGAGTTTTTTTAAATGTGCTTTGTATTTTGTATTGAGTTGTACGCCTATATTTGCTTACATTTAGTTCTTTTCTGTTATTTAAATAGTAAGCTTACTTGTTAAAATTATAACAGTGGTGAAACACTGATATATAATACAGCCAGTTAGCAGTATATAGGCTATTAGGCATATGCATATATATATATATATATATGAGAGGGGAAGTTCAAAGGTATTATTGTTCATTCCATCCCTGCATACTTGTTGGGACGAGAAGGTTTATAAAACCTGAGCAAACCAAATTAAACAAGGTTAAATAAACAGATAAATGAGGGAAAGAAGAAATAAGATAAAAATATCGACGAATTTTTAGTTTATTGGAATTTCAATTTTCTTTTACAAATTCTTGACAATGTGTTACAAGAACTGACAATAAACACTAAAGAATTGTTTTTAGTTTGTGACTGAACTATCTAAGCTTCATATCATACAAACCATGAATAAGGAACTAACCTTAATGAATTTAATGCAGAAAATGAGAAATTATGTAAAAAAACACTTTTATAAATTAAAAAGTTATATGCGAGACTCACTTGTTACTATTTAAAAACATCCCTATAAACAATTAAATAAAATATTGGCTTTCTCAGTCTTGTTCAAAGCTTACATTGAGTGTAAACAGATGAAGCTGTGGTCCAGATTATTTCCCCTCCCCAAACAGTCTACAACAAATAATGAACCTCATCCTAACTCGCTTACATATTTTAGACTGACCCATGTGCAGTTTCCATACAGGCATACCCCTCTCCTGCCAATTTAGTTTTTGTCTGTTAAACTTTCTTGATTGTATAGACATGGAGGTGAAAATGTAAATCTGTAAACCTAGTAAGTACACTTTTTTTTCTGAGTGTCATATAATAAAACTAAGTTTTTCTCTCCACTTTTGAGATGTATTACTTGTTTCATTTCTTAACTTATTAAGCATCCATAGCCACAACACAAACAGTCAATCTAAAAAAGATGACATAATACAAACAAGTGAAATATCTCACTTGGATCAATTACATTTATTACATTCAATACATCTATCATACATACTGTTTAAGAAAGAACAGCACCAGTTGTATGGCAAAGTGCAAGTTGAACGTGATTGTGATAGTGTAAAAAATAATCTTTCATCTCCCAATATAATATCAAAAACAAAAATGCTTAAGATACAAAGCAAATGCATGCAAAGTGGGCAGAAAAGCAAGAAAAAAACACATACATCTAGATCTATGTATTAAAAATCACTGAATAAAACTGGACAGGCTGCAATAAATGTGCTCTAGTTAATCTAGACCGCAACAAATCAAGTAGAAATACTTAGAGACAAAACTGTTTAAATTTTTACAATCTCATTATTAATCCCAACACTTGTCCATCCTGCCATGGAACTACATGTAGTAGAGAATCAATACATAAACAAAATCAAATTTAATATCTGCACTTCAAAATTAATTTAAAACAATATATAGTGGTTATTATCATATAAAATAATAAGGGCAAATGTAAACAAGATGCGTATTTATTGAGGATGTCTTTTAAAACATATTGACGATTTGATGAACATTCAAGAAACACTACCAACTGGGATAAATGCTCAATTAAAATCAAAATTATGTACACAGTAGACCAATAAAATTATACAAAAAAACAAACAACAACCACCACAAACACCATTTCATCATGACTTATTTTTTCATTCAATGGGAGCATTGATTTTAGGAATAAAATAGGGTTGTGTTGCAAATAGTTTACGAAACAAAATTGCATCGTATGATCATAAATTATGAATAAATTGATATATAAATAAAACAGACATTAATCCAATCCATTTCACAAACTTCATGTTGGTTTTTAAAGCCCAGTAACTTTTTCCTTGGAATAAAAAGTGAGGAATAAAAATCTATAAAAAGCAAGATCATATTCAATAATTAAAACTTAGTAAAACAATATTAATGAGAACATTGTCAGTTCTAAAGTTGAAATAGCAATAGTTCCTAATAGCGGTGAGGGAGAAATTACATTAAAAAAATAGTTTTGGTTTAAATACCTAAACCTCAAGCAGTGAGTCAAATGCTTATAAAATAATGTGATGGAAATAACATATGTAGTAGAATTCTTCAAAAAGCTGATTTTTAACCTATAAATTAGTAAAATCTTTTACTCAGTTAAACTTTTCCAAAACAAAAGTCAAAAGTTTAAATAACTTAATACTATTTAATAAATATGAAATGAAGAAACTAACTTCCTTTTGGTCCTGGAAAAATAGTCAGAACCAAATCCTTAAGCATCTAGTTTTAAACAGAGTCTAACACAATAACTCTGTACCAAAGATAAATGTAAATGTCGGGTGACTGAATGACTTGTGATGTTTCATCATCTCTTTCCTGTCACTACATCCATTATGTACTTTCTCACAGCCTCGTCTTGCAGTATTGCCATATGTTCGGCCTTGTCTATCACCTGGTGATACACTGGCTCTTTCTGATTCCCCTGCCAGCTCAAACACCCTAAGAGACTTCGCAGGTTCACAGTACCATCCCCGTCCCCTGGTTTAACTTTGGGATACACATCCGGAAACTCTCCTTCCCCAAAGATAAGCATGTCAGGGGTTTCGACACCGGAGCCATGCAGGCAGTGAACCGTGACTTCTGGTGGGGTCAGGTCACCGATCAGATTCTCTGTATCTTTCCTCATTTCATATCCATCAGTGAAGTTGAGGTCGGCGAAGAACTCCTTGTAATCAACAACAGTGTAGTTCTTCTTGGGTGTCATCACCAGGACTTCAGATGGTTTCCAAAACTTCTCACTGGGCATGAGAAAAGCTGTGCTGGGCATGGATCTCTGCTCTGGTCGAACATGTGAAGGGGATACAATGATGACACCCAAACTGTCACCTGAAAAATTTCATTTGTAATTTAATTAAGGACTGTAACAAATGGTTTCAGAATGAGGAAAAAACATTGAATTAAATAGGTTAAAATAAAACCATTCAAACTTAGCTGTAAAAAAGTGTACTAACAATAAATAACACACTAAGATTAGATATATTCTAAACTCTAAGAGAAACGACTATAAAAAATAGGAAAATATTTTTTTACCAGAGGACATTAGCCTTAATGGTTTGACTGCTCCGCCCCATACACCAGCAAGTGAAACTAAGGATTGAATGTACTGATCTTTCCATGCTTTGGGTTGATGGTTCAGAAAATACAAGCTTACAGGATTACCCATGCTATGGGCAACTATAACAACCTTAGAATTATTGTTCTTTTTGTAGGTATCTTCCACCAAATTTTTCATATCATTGTAGTAATCATCCAACTCATCTGAAAATAATAAGTTAAAGCATGTTTAATTCAAGGCAAGCAGCTAGCCTAGAAGCCAAAAAACTGAAATATTACAATGAAAAATGAATTAAAAACAAAAAAAAAATATAAAGGGACTTACTTGGTGCTTTACGAAAATCAAATGGAGCCCCTCTTACTGATACGCCACGTATGTAGCCAATTGACACTAAGTCATTGACAATAGGGTAAAAGTAGGATACTGTCAATTAGAAAGTGCAATAATGTAACAACAATGAGTACAGAATAAATCATTACAAACAGAAAAACTAGTAGAAAAACCTGCAGCTTTTATAAATTAAAATTTTAAAATTTTTACTTATAACTAAATTTTAACTTATTTGTTTTTAAGTAGCCCTATAACAGACTATGTTGAAATAATAATAATTAAAAAAAACAAGTAATAATTTATTGTATTATCTAACACTGAGGGAATTTACTTTTATCAGCCTTAATACTTCAGCATGCCAACATAAAAACTAATTAAAATTTAGAAAATTAAAGACTCACAGAATGGAAAATAGTGTGACGTTTTACTTGGATCTAGCCACTCTACTGGTGTGGTGTTGCCAAAATCTACTGTACGAATATCAACCCCTGGACTATTAGATGTTTTTCTTGTCTTTGCATCATATACCAATCTGAAAATTAAAGATTTAAATTAGATTTATAAGCTATAAAGCCTTTTGTTAAGTAGGTATATTAAAAGTCTCCTACAACATTAAATGGCTTACCTCATGTTGTCCACAAAGCAATCAATTACAGTAGGCACTAACTCTTCAAGATTTATCCAAATAGATTCATAACCCACAGTCTGTTTGGTACACCAGTAGTGAGGTACAGATGTTTTGTTTAGTTTAGCTACCAACTGTGATCCTCCATCTCCAGGGACTAAAATATGTTTATTAAAAATAGAGTTCAAAACAGCAAAAATGATTAAATGAGCTGTTCTGTCACTGTCTGAGGACTGAATGTAGCCATTGAAATATTTGAATTTAAAAAAATTTGACTGTAGTGTCAGTGTATGCTGAATACTAATATAAAATTCTAAATAGTCCAGCATTAACAAAGATACATGGAAGGAGTAAAACTAGGAAAAATACCATCAGTTCTAGTAGGATAAATAAATAAAATTCCTTTAATAATAATATTCCTTTAATACTAATTAGGCCTAGGTGTATGATAATAAATGATTATTCCTAATTCATTAATCTATTCTATAGAATATAGAAGGATAGTAAGTAGGGATTTTGGTAAAAAAACACTAATCATCATATAAAAAAAATAAAAATTACATATTCTTGTAGAGCTCAACTAAATGAAAACAAAACAAAAAAGATTTTCTGTCTAGCTCAAATAGTTTTTTTTTAACGAATTTTTTTGTGAGGGGTGGAATCCCCTTGCTTTTGCATTGACCAATTGTGACAAGTCATGGTATACCTGAATAAACTGAGCATAGTTATTTTACTTGCAGTTGTATTTTGTTCATATTTGCAGAGTTTAACTATAATGATATATAGAACTTGTAAATGCTGTTGAAATGAATAAAAATAATACAGAACTTATATTTTTGTGTTGGCTTCCTCCCATAACCCCAAAAAACTGTGTGCTGCGCAAATATGAAAATGTTTCTAAAGCCATATTTTATATAAATACAGCAAATGAAAGAACTACAAAGTTAGAAATCTAAAGTAATGACTTGAACACTGTTATGTGCATATAATTGCCTCATTATTTTGGGCAGGTGAAGTAGAGTCCATCTTTAAGCCATTTTGTTATAAAACTGCTGCGCAAATATGAAAATGTTTCTAAAGCAATATTTTATATAAATACAGTGAATGAAAGAACTCCATAGTCAGAAATCTAAAGTAAATGACTTGAACACTGTAATGTGTCTATAACTGCCTAGTTATTTTGGGCAGGTGAAGTAGAGTCCATATAAAAGCCATTTCGTAATAAGTGAAATGAAGCTATCAGATCAATGTTTTTATGTGTGACTTGTGTATGGATTCTGATTTTCAGCATATAACTATATCTAAGGGTAAGTAGAACTTGAATACTTAAAATTACAGTTAGCACAATGCTAGTGTATAGCAACAGACAGGTAACCTAGATCTAGGTCTGACTCTTGTCAGTCTAGTCATCTAGTCTGACAAAATTGGATTTTAGGAAAAACATATTCTGCAAAACTAGAACTAGAACTGACAAAATTAAAGATGGGTATGTAAATATATTTTGAAAACAACAATTAGGAGATTTGTTTGCACATTCCATAAGAATGCTGTTGTTAGTTGATCAAAGTTAAAGGCCGGAAGATCGGGATGAAAAAAATATAACAATGGTGGCAACGCGACCTACATACGGTGACTACGTTCGGAGGAGTATAACTAATGTCGGAGTCAAAATATCCAAAAACAAATTTCATTTCCACATACTTAAGATATGTCTGATCAGTAATCTAGTCTCATCTAGAAGAATCTTTTAAAAAATCGTGATTCCAACGTATTTGAAACTAGCCTTCATACAGGGGGAAGACCAAAGCAGAGACAGCGTGCAATCAGATCGCTAAGCCATCAAAACAATGGGAAAACCATTCTACTTTTCATTTAACATTAGGAAATGACCTTTTAAACTTAATTAATTACCATAAATTAAAAACTTATTAGTATGCAAAACCAAATCTCGTGCGCCCGGTATCAGAAAGTAATGGGCGATTTCGGGTCATGTTTTTACCGCGATCTCGGCCGATACCGACAACCCTAATAGATCTAGTAAGTAATAATTTTTTTTAATAGGACTATCACTCAGTACATCAGTCAGTGGTACTGAGGTAGCCTATATTTTTGGCTAATACTTTAAATTACTCCTTAGCCTATCTAATTATCTCTATCTATACTATAGGCATATAAATTAGATAGCGCTTAGGCCTACTAGTTACAACAATAGTTTATTTATTTAGCCTAATAATTAAGTTACTGAGATTCAGTAGGTTGTTTGTACTCTGCTCTGTAGGCTTGCACAATAGGCCTAATTAAAATAATTTAGAAAATAAATCTAAAAATGTAGGGCTAGGGACTGCATGACTCTTAATTTAATAATTTATATAATTTAGAGATAGATCTAGAATTCTAGATCTTATGTGGGTCTAATTATTTTTATAGACCTAATTTAAAAAACCAATTAAGCCTAGTGTTAAGTAGGCCTACTACTAAGAGTAACTAAGTACTGTTCTGACTGTTCATTTATTTTCATTTCGCGTTTTAGGCTGACCAAGTTGACCGATTAAATTAATAAAAAATAATGGCAATGACATTTCATTACAATTTTAACGTGCCAACACACATTATTTCAAAAAGTTAGTACATATACGCAATCTTTACCTAATATAACAGGGTACTGAGGAGCACAATTCACATGAATGAAACATAACACAAAACTAAAAATGGAAATCTGTTCTTTAGTCGAAATCCACGACATTTTGTTTCTGGTTACTAACTAGGTTCGACAACTCTGACTCTATGCCTATCGCTAAATAGGCATGGCCAGATAAAAATAACATATTGTACGCAATGTCAATAAAGGCCAAACCAACAATGACAAAAAATAGGCAACATTTTTATTATTTAGTTACCAATAGGGTAAAGGAGGGCGTTAAGAGCCGTGTGGTATTAAGCCCCAATCAACACCCCACCCCCACAAAACCCCCAATAACACTGCTAATCTACTTCTGAGGTAACAACCACTGCTGTTCTTTGATAACAGAGAAGCAGAGGATTCATTTTATGTAATTTATGACCCACTTGGTCCAATAGGGAGAGGATGAGACAGGATTTAATCCCACTGCTCTTTCCCTAAAATTTCTCATCTCCATAAAACCATTTTGTGAACTTTTTTTCCAAATAGACATAACTTGGGAAACTTCACTTTGTAATAAACCAAATGAGTTTTTCAAGCCCATTCTTTGTTCCTGTATTAGAGCATTGGTTGTTGTACATTTTAACACTATTTTTATAGCTATGGCTAGAATAGTTTTATTTTGGTGAATTTTTTTTGCACAGTGATTATTGGTGCCAAAACAAAATGGCCGACATTAGTCCCATTTTACCATGCTATAAAGTTTTTATCATTATCAGAGTAAAACTTGACTGATCATTACCATAATGGTTTTATTTGTTAGATAATAACTAAATCAACATGAATACATTAATTTTGTTCACTAGCTTGCCTGTTTAGAAAAGTTATAACAGATACTGTTATGTGGCTCTTGAAACCCTATGTGCAAGTTTCTCATTTATTAGACCACTGAATATGACACTGGTATAGGAATAGTTAACACAAAATGTATTAATTGTTAAACAGACTTGTGTCTAAATGATAGAAATACTATTCTAACCTGCTAAAAAGTAAAAATTCAGTCATCTCATGTTAGCAAGGTAATTTTTAAAATGGTATGAGTACTTATTACCCCTAAGGGGCAATACAGTCGACTCAGCCCCCACCTGTTTCTAACCAACCATAAAACTTCTAATCTCTTTGTAGGTAACAGGAATAAATGTTCTTAGGTCTCAGCCAATCTGGGGTGGTATGTTATGTAATTTATGACCCTCATGGTCCAGCATGGAAGTAAACAGACACATTAATACCACTGCTCCCCCCTTACAATTTCTTACCCCCATGATACCCAGCCCCCACCAGTTTCTGGCCCACCATAAAACTTCATCTCTTTGTAGGTAACATGGATTACAGTTACAGATCTCAGACAATCTGGGGTGTCATGTTATGTAACATATGACCTTCATGGTCTAGCAGGGTGGAGACCAAAGAGGAATCAGTACCACTGCTCTCCCCTCACAATTTCTCACCTCCATGATCTAACCCACCATTAGACTTCATCTCTTTGTAGGTAACATGGACTTAGTTCTTAGATCTCAGCCAACCAGAGATAGCATCTCCTTATGTAATTTATGGCCCTCAGGGTCCAGCAAGGAGAAAAAAAGGGGAAACCAGTACCACTGCTCTCCCCTCACAATTTCTCACCCCCATGATACCCAGCCCCCACCTGTATCTAACCCACCATAAAACTTATCTCTTTGTAGGTAGCATGGACTTAGTTCTTAGATCTCAGCCAACCAGAGATAGCATCTCCTTATGTAATTTATGGCCCTCAGGGTCCAGCAAGGAGAACAAAGGGGAAACCAGTACCACTGCTCTCCCCTCAACATTTCTCACCTCCATGTCATGTTATGTAATGTATAGCACACATGGCTTATCAGGGGAAAGCATTAAGGCAGATTAGTTAGTACCAACCCTTTTTACATACAAGAATGTTAACTCTGGACAGCTACACACTAGTATACTAGCTACACACTAGGCATACTAATGTGCCTACTGTAAACTACTTGACTTTAGGCCCTATGTACACCTGTAATTGTATCAATTGTAGACTGGGCCCATTGGGGCCTAGTGATAGCTAGTATCAGTTAAAGTGTGTGTACACAGCATTAACTATTTTGGGGTTAGAAATTAATTATTTTTATTGAGGAGTTAGTGTAAACTAGGAGGTAATGCTTATTGCCCCAATTGCCCGGCTCCTTTCACCCCAAATGCTGATTTCAGGGGTATGACAATAAATGCTCAATTAAACCCATTTAAAGTATATTTAATAGACTTTGTTATTATTTTTATATTGTGTAAGATATGTTAGAATAATTTTGCCATATTTTCAATACTAAAAAATTCTTAGATTAGTAGAAATCTTTAAAAATGTACAGGTGCTAAAAAGTGTGGCTCTTAACGCCCTCCTTTACCCTACAGAACATAAATAATTGTGTAGACAATTTTATCATTTAATGTTAAAGGTATTTATCAGCCTGGTCCCATCATTAATTACTCATAATTAAAAATTCAACTGTTTAAAATAAAATATTAAACATTAAGTGGGGGAAAAATAAGAGACAAAGCCTGTTTATTTTCCATTTTAAAAGTTTATTACTTATTCCCCCAACCTCATTTCATAATAAATTCCTTGAGTTATAGAAAATCAAAAAGGGGACTACACTTACTACCTGAAATGTTAATTTTGGGCTATTTAGAATTTTAGTATTTGACCTACACTAGTCAAAATAAAATTTCAAAAATTTAAATTCCAATGGTTATATTTAAAAGCCAGACAGGTGACTTTCAATTTTTTTAAAATGGAAATACTTTTGTTGTATTTAAATACTTTTTAGAAATTTGCAAAACCAATTTCCAAAAATAAAAATTAAGTGATATTTTTTGAATGATTTGGAGAGATAAGGATATTTATACTCATTCCTGCATGCAGAAATTTTTTCCTATTGCATTAGTTGGCCAGTTATATCTCTGGATGCAAATGTTCATTGCCAGTATGAAAAAGACTATGGGGTCTGTGATACTTCAACAGTACTATCAATCTGGATTGTTACACCACAAGAGTTTTAAATGTATTATAAAATAAAGACAAGGATTTTCAAGATTCACTTTAATTCAATTTAGTCAGTATTTACATAAAATAACATGTGAGGACTGTTGTGTATACTATTTTTAGAATAAGCAACAGGTAATAGTTACATAAAGTTATTTCAGCTGCTTTACAATTTCAAAACGTGTGGACATCAATAAATCTCATGTTATGTCAATATATTTTGTCTTTTAAATTATGTCAGTTGTTAATACAGAATATAATAACAAATGCATAGATTTTAAATTCCATGTAACAAAAAAATTCTGTTAAAATTATAGTAGTCAATTAAATTATACAACCCAAGATAAAACAATACAGCTCATATTATGATGTAACATAAAAAAATATAAAAAGATTAGCTAATTTCTTGAATTAATTTTTTTCTCACGGTTATCTTTTTTTCTTTTATGATTTTCTTTAAAGTAATAGAATTATGGAAGTAGTAAGCCTAGTAATAATATTTGTCAAGATGGTCGTCTTTCTGTAATCCATTTGATATAGCTACCATCAAATAAACCATTTGCTTTGCTTGTAAAAATAACTCCCTTGAAATGACTTTTTGAAAGGTAACCATTATAAAATTCTTTTGCTGTCATTTTCTTTTTGATCACTATATGGGTGAAACCAACCCATGCATCCTGAAAATATATTTTGAATTCATTTGATATGGATCAACAGGATGTAAGCAACTCAACTTGAATGTCATTTTAGAATCGATAATGTCCATGAGCCAACAAAGTTTTGATGAGTATATAACTAGTTATCATAAGTGACATCTTCTTGGCAGTGCTGACCACTCAATCTCTTCACATGTTGGTAAATAGAAGAACTCTACCTCATTTACCATATGATCATCAGGTGAAAAAGGTTAAACTACTCTCTTGTAAGTAAGCCTTGTTTATAAATAGGAAGTGGGCTCCTGGTCTAAAATTTAAAGATGGGCGAATAGAATAGTGTATACCTTGCATTTGACCCATAGAATATTAGTTGTATTATCATACACTGGTAAACCTGGAGGACTAGCAGCATCCAGTGAAATAGCTAAAACAATTTGTCAACAAAAAAAAAATTAAAATAAGTTTGTAACTAAATAGCTTTTATACTTGCTAAAATTTTTTTATATTTATTACATTATTTATAACTTAGTTAATAATATAGAGTTTATTAACTAATTATAACTTGGTTAATAATCTAATTTGTTTATATCAATTTTTTTTTACCATTAACACTAGAATACATTGCATACCTGGTTGTATATATGGAGACACCATGTCAATTAAACGAACAGTCATACCCAACCAATCAGTCCGTAATTCTGTCTGAAATTGAGATTTTGATTATTTCTACTTGTACAGAGTAGAGATAAGAATTTTTAAAAACTTTTTACAATGATGAAGATCTTAGGTCAAAACCTAATTAGTTTTTTAATTACTTTCATTTGATCATATGAAAATATTTACAAACTTACAGTGTCATGTATGGCCCTGTACTGTTGATCAATGCTGTCCACACTTTGATTGTGCCAATCAATGAATGACATATTTAATGTTACTTTGTGTGCTGTAAAAATATTTAAAACAGAATACTATAGTTACATATAATTTTTAAAGTACCAGTAGTAAAAAAAAAAAAATCAAGTATTACAAAAAAGCAGTAGGAAGTAAATATGATTTCAGCTCTAACAAAAATTAAAATCAGGTATAGGTATACTGTAATAGACATATATGTCTGTTAAAAGTATACCAAAATAATGATCTTTAGTATCTGGTCATAAGGATTATGCCTGTTGTGATTTCATTTCAAATTATTTTTTTAAAGCTAAAAACAAGGGAAGGTTACAAACCATATGTAATATTCGCCTCTGCCTGGGGCTGCCTAGAGTTGAAATACTCTGGTAGTTGAGACAATGTCTCTAGTATCTAGAATAATTGTTACATACAGAAATATAGAAATATGGATTATAAATTATGTCAACCTAATATCACCTGAGAAAAACTGCAGATAATTTTTTAAACCAGGAAAGAAAATATTAGATTTCATAACAAATATCTACTAATAAAGTAAAATAATTTAAAATAAAAAAGATCACCATTTTCCCTCCAATAGGTGCAAGTAGGTCTCTTAACCTATGTGTTGTACATCTTGAAGGAACATCAAATTCTCTTTGCATTAATAATGGACCAACATCAAATCTACAGAAATCAAATGTAGACAATTTATTTTTTCTATCATTTCTTTCTTTCTTTCTAATAGGCCTAATCATGACTTTTAACAACAATAATGTAGACCTACAAACTTGTTTCTTTCCAGTTTATACAGTTTTATTTTGTAATTAAAAGAGAATCTGGTAGATTTACTGAACATTGATAATGATTAGATTCAGAGCATTACAAACTTTTTGGGCTCAAGGGACATAATACTGATTCCAGTTTTGTTGTCTCCATTAAGAATTGTGTGATGTAGTGGAGCTGCCCCCCTCCATCGTGGAAGTAGGCTTGGATGGACATTCAAAATGCCGCTGCAGAATAAAAAAAAACTAACAAATTTCACAAGTGAGCAGGAAATAATTTTAAAATATTGCTATTAAATTATTTTAAAAGATTTATTTAGACTTATTTTAGATTCTAAAAAATTGTGATGAATATCTTACTACGGAAATGCTTGAAGAATTTTAGATGGAATAAGGTGACCAAATGAAGCTAGCACAGCCACATCATATAAGTTTTTGTTAAACTTGTTCATGGGCCATTCATATCCCATAAGGTCCCACATAGCAGCATATTTAGTTATTGGGGTCTGTGAAATGATTTCTTCATGGTTAAAATATTAATTTTTAATATTACTCCATCAGTCATACCTACTACACTGTATGTGTCATTGAAATGAAATGTCAGACCTCCTAATGCTAACAATTGTCATAAGCTTTCAGTTAACTTTAATCTTAAAGTTAAATGTATCATCATCAGTTATACAAGAGAAATAAACAATTGAAAGCTGGATAATCCCTAAGAATACTATATTTTTAGTACCATTTTGTGATTATTGTAACAAACAATTGCAACAAAAGATACATTTTAATTCTTTAGCTAACTATGCATCTATGCAAGGTTAATGTTAAGTCCAAAAATTACATACAGGCTTTTTTATATTAGGGTGCACTATATGCAAATATTCAACAACACTTTGATCACCCTTGAGTCTGTGGATAGTAAACACAATAGAATACTGATTAACATTTATATTTTCACGAAAAATAACTGCAATCAAAATAAAAGTTTCTCCAAGCTGTCAAAATATATTAAAAATTTACCATCAGCAAACAATGCAATTATTTTTATCTTTCTTATAACTTTTATTTGTGATAAAACATTTTTCCTCCTTATAATATAAAAAGATTGTATGTACTCTTTTATGTTCTTTTGGCTTAGTGAAGAGGAAATGTTTTTCTTCTTCTTTTTGGTTCTTAACTTTAGTTTTGGAAGGAATTCCCGCCAACACAATTAAGTATAAGTATGGTTATTCTTTTTGGATTTGCTTCCATAGCCCTTGTTCAACCAAGAACAAACTACAAGGCAGCAGTTGTTTGATTTTGGAGTTGTTTCTCCTAGAAGAGTTGCTGTCCCCAGCTATTGAGCCTCATCTGCCTGAGGGTTTAAACTCAAGACTTTTTGGTTTAGCAACCATGAGCTTTACAGAAATGTAAAGAAAATGTTTTATAACTGATGAAATATTTACTCACCTCATATTTTCATTTAAAGCTTCAAGTGTTCCTAAAGAAAATTCATCAGTGCCAAAAAACAGAATCCTCCATGGAGGCTTACATCTAATTTTGCTGGTAATGTTAAAACCCATCTTCAAATTGAAGCAGTTGCTAAGTCATCAAAGCTTCATCTCACTGGATTAGGGAAAAAATATCTTTCAGGTGGTACACTATATTAAGTTAATGTACAGCTAGCTATACTCTGAAACATGCTGAGAGGAGTAAGAGTTAGATTAGATAATCTGACACTAAACTTTACAGCTACCACATTCTGTAGGAGGGTTTTTCAGTCTCTGTCTGATAGGTCTTTGTGATAGTTTTGTTTCCCAATTTCAATCCATTCATAAATAATGAGAACAAAAGTAAGCAAGTCAAGACTAACAGTATGTCAACTAAATCACACCAATCATCAGCTTTCATTCACATCATGACATCATGCTTGACACATAAAAGTAACCCATTGTGGAAGATTCTAAATACTGTCAAGAAACTCTACTGGTACTCATCTTACTTTCAATTCTTACACTGAGTAATACTGTGGACATCCAACCAAATAAATAGACTTATAGGGTAGGCGTGTTGTGTAAATAGTAAAGTCAGAGTTTATTATTATGATATTTTGTCATTGGTTAGTAAGGTTATTTACAGTAGTTTCCAAAATGCTGTTGCAGAAAGAGTAAACTCATTGAAGAGAAATGCCTAAACGTAATTTCAGGTCTGCTCAAGTAAGAGATATTAAACTACAACAGCTAGTAACAAGTCCCAAATTTAGTCTTTACACTTTACTATTTGATAAATAGTCAAAATGTTTATACAAAAGATTAAAAAAAGATCTAATAAATAATTTAAAATTATTCTAAAAAATTATATAGGCCTACCAAAAAGAGAAAGAAAGTGAGATAATTGCAAAGTTGTAGCAAATCCACAGCACAGGCAGGGTAAAAAGTAGGACCTAATACTGGCTAATAGTCTCGTTCTTATTATTTTATTAAAATAAACTTTTACTTTTTATTATTTAAATAATATTAAATTAGGCCCACCATTTACTAGAATAGTGTAATAAAGTTTGCAGAACAGAAAGTCAAATTAAAAAGTTTAGTTAGTTAGGAGTTAGGGGCACTGTTAGGGGTCATCACTGCCGACCAGAGTGAAGATTTTATAAAATTTTAGGCCTAGGCCTATAGATAGATTATAGATTCAACTATAGAATTTTTACTTCAAAATAGGCCCTAATAAAAAGGCTAATACTAATATATAGTAATATTGCCTAATAAAAATAAAATAAATATAGTTTAATATAGTAAATATAGGGCCTAATTTTTTTTATAAATCATGCTCACTCTGTGAGTCTGTCTGTGGTTCTAGAATCTGTATCTAGTAATTAGTATCTAGCAGTCTAGCTAGATTCTAATCTTCTTCTATGCTTCTATTTCTATGCCTATGGCCTACGGTATATTTTTCTGTTAGTAGAAGATTATTTTGTAGCCTATTATTTATTATTCACTAGGTCTATGTAGAATCTCAAATGTGTATTCATCAGTATTGTATCAGTCTATGTCAGTCTATGAGAAGCATGAGTTTAAGTTTAATAAATGTGCTTATTTTTTTTATATACTTTCTAATGACAAAAGGTTTGACAAGTAAACATCAGCAGTAAGAAATATGAAAGTTTAAAAAATCCTTGTTTTAATACAAAACAATTAATCGATATTCTACAAAAGAATACATTTAAACGACGATACTTAACTATCTATAATCTATACTAACTATACACTTTAAAATAAGGAATTCCATAAAATATGTTGTTCAATTTGAATTTCATGATACTCTTAAAAATATTTTTAAAAAGGGCGATATACAAGTTGTAGCTATTTTTGTGACCTTACTTCATTACCTTGACCTTTAGAGTTCACCGGTTGTTAAAATTAACAAGGTCAAGAACGAACTGCTAGTTTTCTGTCTGATACCAGAATACACTGAATAGTCTAATCAATCGTTTGATTTATCCTAGTGATTTACCAATTTTAAATAAAAATGTCAGGTCGGGCATTTTTGTCAAAGGATCCTGCCTGGTTGAAGCTAAAAAATCTGTATGATTCTGCTTCAAAAAATCTGAAGATGCTGAATTTGTTTAATGCTGACTCTCGTCGGTTTGAGAAATTCAGGTGCACAAGTCAAATCATCAATCTTGATTCAGATTGATTTGATAGAAATGAGATAAAATAATAAGTCATTACAATTAATTTAACTATTAAACAATATGAATAATATATCTAGTAATACGTAGGCTTGAAAACTAATTTATTTTAATTTTGTAGTGTCTCTTTAGATGGAAGAGATGGTCCAATTCTTGTTGACTTCTCAAAAAATCTGATTGATGATGAGATCTTTCATGCTCTTGTTGATCTGGTAAATATTTTAAAGTTTTAACCTTAACTAAGTTGCTAAAACCAGTCAACCCTAAATGTAGTCAAACATAGTCAGTCTATTAACTTAACCAGATGGATTAAATTTATTATCAAGTTAAAATGTAAACATCTTTTGGGAAGATACTTTTACTTTTAGACACTAACTAAACAATTATTTTTAAAAGATCACTTTCTAGAAGTCTAGCATTTTATTTAAGACATAATCTTATTTATTTGCTAGCAATATCTTCATGTTAATTACATGTCATTTTCACTTAAACACTTTCTTTTAGAGGATTAAAATCATTTATTTTTAATATACACTTTTTGGACTATATGGATAAGAGGGTGTAGATAACATTATATATATATCATTCTTATATATAATTCTATTTCTATTTTCATAAATAAAATGAATTTGATCTTAAAGAATTTTTACTTTTCTGTAGCTAAAATCTGCACAAGTAGAAAAAATGAGAGATGGAATGTTTGCTGGGGAAAAAATCAACTTCACCGAAGACAGAGCTGTTCTCCACACTGCATTGCGCAACAGAAGTAACACTCCTATTTATGTTGATGGCAAAGATGTAATTAAATTTAAATCTGCTACCCCTTAATTAAAATTAAAAATTTTAATAAAATATCTTTAAAATTCACTAAACTGTAAGAATTATGATGGACCTTTTTAGGCTTTAGTGTAAATTGTTTAAAGAATGAATGTATATTTTCTGCTAATTAGGTTTTTACATTATTGTAGACCAGATAGGTTTGCTGTTTATCAGCAGTATTAATTTTGTTACTTTGTAAACTACAAGCACAAGATGGGCTAATTAGTATTGCTCCATGTCAAGAATATGAAATCAGTATGCAATTTTTTAAAAACTATTTGATCCAAAATGTTCTTCTAGCTACATTTGTGAGCCACTCTGTTATTTTAGGTCATGCCAGATGTTAATGCTGTTCTAAAACACATGAGAGAATTCACAGATCAAGTACGACATGGTCAGTGGAAGGGCTACACTGGGAAAAGTATCACTGACTGTGTCAACATTGGTATAGGTGGTTCTGATCTGGTAAGTCTCCATTGTAAGACTCAAGATTTTATAGTTTTTAGGACTGTCTAATAATTATAGAAACGTCTTATTTAAAATTTAGTTTTAAAAAGTTTTTCCCTTGGGTACATTTTCTAGGGCCCAGTGATGGTTACTGAAGCTTTAAAAAAATATCAGTGTGGACCCACATCTCACTTCATTTCTAACGTAGATGGGACACATCTGGCAGAAACATTGAAAACTCTGAACCCTGAAACTACACTCTTTATCATTGCTTCCAAGGTAAGTTATGGACTGAAGTGAACTTTTCAGCTAAACAATGCAAATAAAGAATTTTTAAAATCGTGTCAGATTTTTAAATTTTATAACCATTGCCCTTTTAAATTTGTATTTAAGTTTTATCTTCTAAACAACTCTCATACTTGTGTATACAACCTGAATTTTTAAATTCAGATGAAGTATTGTGTGAGCTTTTTAATGTTATCATTTAAGTCTTCATTTGTAAATGCCTAAGTTGCCAAGTGTATTAACAATAACATCCACATTTTTAAAATAGACATTTACTACACAAGAGACTATAACCAATGCCATCTCTGCTAAGATCTGGTTTTTACAACATGCTAATGATGTAAGTATTATAAGCATTCATGTTTAGCATGGGAATAATTGTAGATGATTGTGAAATTAGTGGTTGTAGGTTTATAACAGTTTTTGTGTAAGTGATTAACTTCCATCTATAGACTAAGATTTAAATGTACAACATTTATAATTTAGTAATGAATAGTTGGAACTGAAGTAAAATTAAATTTGTTTTTTCTAGCAAGCTGCTGTATCCAAGCATTTTGTTGCTCTCTCAACCAATGGGGTAAGTCATTATTTAATAGTTCAGACTGTAGCTGTACATCTTGGTATGTAGTTGCAAGTCATGCTAAGTATTGATTTTATTCTAGCATGGTGAAATATCCTGTTGTGTATTAATAAGCTGTTGAATTTTGTGGGTTGTTTTTCTAGTTATTCATAATCAATTCATGTTCAGTAAGTTTAAATTTAAATAATTTCAGCCTAAGTGTAAAGAATTTGGAATTGATGAAAGCAACATGTTTGAATTTTGGGATGTAAGTATTTTTAAAGCTTAGTTTTTATGTTAGGCAAATGTAGTGTTAGAAATTTTTATCTTCGTAGTTTTAATCTTTATTTAGTAGCTTAAACTTAAAGAAGATCTATTTTTTTTCATTGCTAAAGTATTTTCCTTTAAAAATGCTGATTCAATAAGTAACTAAGTATGAAATGTTTTAGCTAAACATTAAATTCATTACATTTCTGTATTATTTATTCAAATATTTTTTGTTCACTTCTTCAAGTGGGTTGGTGGACGCTACTCCCTTTGGTCTGCTATTGGGCTGTCTATTGCATTGATGATTGGTTAGCTTTTACAATTTTTATTCCATTTTTAAAAAATACTAACATAATTACAAATATTTAAGCCTTTAAAAAATTTAAAGTTTACACAGTGAACATAACTATCCTTATTTTTTAAACCTCAATAAGCAAGATTAATGATGTTTTATTTACTGCATTTAAAAAAAGTTCAGAGAGTAACAGTAACTGAGAGTAACAGAAATAGTTGATACACAAATGTGTTTATAATTATGTCTCCAGGTATGGACAACTTTGAGGCTCTGCTGGATGGTGCCCATCATTTAGACAAACACTTCAAAGAAGCTCCACTTGAAAAAAATGTAGTTTTGATTTTTTGTCCATAGACTTTTATTCCTTTGTAATATTAAATTGAATTGTGTGTCTTACTTTCTTCAGAATAACTGATATTTGAATTAGTTACTCACCTTTATTTCATGTGCTGTTTTCTTCTCTGTTAGATTCCCATGATCCTTGCTGCACTAGGCATTTGGTACTCCAACTTCTATGGTGCACAGTCCTACACAATCCTGCCTTATGATCAGGTAAACCATAACTTCTCAATGTGCTATAGAGACAACCCATTTAAACCACCTTAGTAGTCCTACTGTATCAGCCTTTGCTATTGTTGCTTCTAGTACATGCACAGATTCCCAGCCTACTTCCAGCAAGGGGATATGGAGAGCAATGGCAAATACATAACCCGCTCGGGTCAGAAAGTGGATTACTCCACAGGACCCGTAGCCTGGGGAGAGCCTGGCACTAATGGTCAGCATGCATTTTATCAGCTGATTCATCAAGGTCAGTTCCGTTAGGTCACAGGTTGTTGCTGTTAGTCTCTAGATTATTATTGCATTGCTTTGTATGGCCTCAACATTTGTAAATAGATTACATCTTTTCTGTACCAGTGGTGTAAGTATTTATTAGATTTACGCATTCTTACTGATTTTGCCAGTTTTTTCTTCTTGTGAAAATAATTTGTGTAAATAATATTTAAGCATTTATATTTATCATTGAACTTCAACATAAATAAAGATGTAACTAAGACATTTGTTATTATCATTGAACAGGAACCAACTTAATTCCTTGTGATTTTCTTGTCCCTGTTGAAACCCACAACCCTGTCCAGAATGGACTTCACCACCAGGTGAGTGATCTCTTCAGTGTTTGTATTTTTTGTGTAACAAACTCCTCCACATTGAGTACTCTACAGTTAAAATTTTGTGATTGCCTGCGTAATATTTGTACCAGATAATATTAATAGCTGGGTTTATTTAACACTTACTATCAAAACAGCCCTCACTTTCTGATGTTTAATGACTAGAACTGACTAAAAGTCATCTTGTTTTTGTGTCTAGATCCTGCTGTCTAACTTTCTAGCTCAGACTGAAGCTTTGATGCGAGGAAAGACAAAAGAGGAGGTGGACACAGAGCTGAGAGCTGCTGGCATGTCTGAAGATCAAATCCAACTGATTGGCCCCCATAAAGCAAGTAACTGTGTATAGATTGTGTTGGTAGCTGATTGGAGGGGGGGGGGGGGGAAGAGAAGCAAAAAATAGACAGCTTTCAATTTCTGCCCCCCCCCCCCCCCCCCTTTGTTGAATTTATATAATTTAAAAACTGTTGTAGAATATATTGAGGAGTATATTAACAAGACCTATTACAAATATCACCATGTTATAAACTGCTTTAGAAATAGTAAAAATAATTTGAACATAACTTGTCTCCTGTATGTTAGCACCTCTTGTGAATAATTTGTTTGAATGTATCCTAAATTATTTGATACACCTCCAGGTTTTTGAAGGCAATCGACCAAGTAATTCAATTGTGTTTCAAAAGTTGACACCTTTCAACCTTGGTGTATTAATTGGTAAGTTTATCAGTCAGGAATGCTAGCTGTTTCTTTGGTAGTCCCTGTGGTAAAATGTGTTCACTTTTTTCTGAGGGATAGCTGCAATATACCCTGTAGTATGTCAGGGCATACATTTACCCTGTAACCTTTTTGTTTTAGTTTGGCTAACTTAAGCTTTGAGTCACAACCATATAAGTATTACTATAAAATTGTTCGCTATGCTGCTTATTATTAGATAGTTACTACACTCCTATTCTATGATCTATGTATTATACTAAGGTTACTGGAGTAGTTAAAGAATTGTTTACACGTGTCCATTATACTTGAGGTTACTTGTAGTTGTTACAGTTTTGTTTACACATTTTTCCAGCTATGTATGAGATGAAGATCTTTGTGCAAGGCATTGTGTGGGATATCAACTCCTTTGACCAATGGGGGTAAGTTATTTGATTGAAATTAATCAAGTCATCATCATCAACACTCCTTTATAGCCCCTGGGGAGCAAAGGGCTGCAACCACACATCTCCAGCGGACTCGGTTTTGGGCTGCTCCTCTGATCTGTGCCCATGAGAGCCCAGCTGTTTTTGCCTCTTCCTCAACCGTTCTCTTCCATGTTTTCTTTGGCCGGCCCACCCTCCTTTTCCCCTTGGGATTCCAGTCCAATGCATGTTTTGCAATGTTTTCTTTTTCTTTTCTTAACGTGTGTCCGATCCATCCCCATTTTCGGGCCTTAATATCTTTCTCTATTGGTTGTTGCTTTAAAATTTGCCACAGGTCTTTGTTTGTTATTTTGTCTGGCCATCTTATTTTGAGTATATGACGTAGGCACTTGTTTACGAATGCCTGTAGCCTATCAGTATTTGTCTTCGTAACCCTCCAGGTCTCCGAGCCATAGAGTAGCACTGCCTTCACATTTGTGTTGAAAATCCCAATTTTGCTCCGGAGTGACAGGGCCGTGGACCTCCACATTGGGCGCAGCGAGTTGAAGGCACATCTAGCCTTGTTGATACGGCATTTTATGTCCTCGTCTGCTCCCCCGTCCTTATTGATCACGCTTCCCAGATATGTGAATGTGTTTGTTTCTCGTAAATCTTCTCCATTCAGCTGTATCGGCAGGTCCTGGCTGTTATTGATTCTGATGACCTCTGTTTTGTTTTTATTGATTTTTAGTCCAATTTTGGAGGCTTCTTCAGACAGCCGATTTAGTTTGACTTGCGTGTGTTGATGCTTATGAGATAGTAGGCAGATGTCATCGGCAAAATCAAGATCCTCCAACCTTTTTGTGAAACTCCACTGGATTCCTGTGTCGTTTTTTGTGTCCCTCAGCATGATCCAGTCGATCACCATCAAGAATATCATTGGCGATAGCATACATCCCTGTCTTACTCCCGTCGTCACCCTGAATGGTTTTGTTAGTTTTCCCTTGTGTATTACCTGACTGGTGGAGTCTTCATATAGTTTCTGTGTGATAGATATACATTTTTTGGGTATTCCATAGTGGCTCATTAACTTCCAGATAGCATCTCTATTCACACTGTCAAACGCCTTTTCGAAGTCGACAAAGGTCATGTATAAGGGGGATTGCCACTCAAGGGACTGTTCAACAATGATGCGTAGCGTGGCAATGTGGTCAGTACATGACCTGTCCTGACGAAAACCAGCCTGTTCTTGTCTCAGCTTTTTGTCCAAGGCATCTCTAAGTCTCTCTAGGATGATTCTTGTCAGCACCTTACTTGGAACTGAAAGAAGCATTATCCCTCTCCAGTTGTTGCATTGTGTCAGGTCTCCCTTCTTTGGCAGTTTTATCAGGTATCCCAGTTTCCAGTCAGATGGGATTATCTCTTCTTCCCAAATCTGCTTAAGTAGAGGATGTAGTATGTCTGCTGATATGGCTGGGTCTGTTTTGAGTGCCTCTGGTGGGATGCCGTCCGGGCCAGCTGCTTTGCCATTTTTCATGTTCTTTATTGCTCTTATTGTTTCTAACTTTGTGGGTGGATCTGTACACACATCTAGTAGGTGATTTGCAGGTGGTATATCCGGGATGTTTGATGAGAGAGGATGGTTTAAAATCTCATCAAAGTGCTGTGCCCATCTGTCTCTCTGTTCTGTGTCACTTGTTAAGATATTTCCTACTTTATCCTTTACTGGTTTGTTGGGATTAATGTTCTTACCTGATAGTGTCCTGGTTACTTCATAGAGCCTCTTCATTTTTCCTTGTCGTGCTGCAGTTTCTGCCTCCTCTATCATCTCCTGTATGAACTGTCTTTTGTCTTCTTTTGCACTTTTCCTGACCATGCGATTTACTTCACAATAATGTGTTCTGAGGCTTATTTTCTCTTTTTCATCCTTACATTTGTTAATCTTCTGCTTTATCTCTTTTCTATCTTCAATTTTGGCCCATGTCTCTGTTGTGATCCATACTTTTTGTTCATTTTTTCTTCTCCCCAATATGTCAGTGCATGTTGACTTCCATAGTTCCTGTATTCCTAGCCATTTTTGCTCTACTGTTTCCTCTACTGTATCCTCTGCCAGGCTGGAGAGTGCTTCATACCTATTTTTTACTGCGAAATTAATCAAGTAGAGGAAGTTAATTAACTGTAGATGTAGGAAATACATTGTTGATAGTTTGCTAAACAGGAAGTGGATTTATTACTCTTAAATGGTTTTATGAGGAGCTTAAGTCAGTTGACAGATTACTTTTTATCTTGGTAACTTTTCTATGGTGTTTGGTTAAATCTATTTATAATGGAAGGTTGTACAATATTAAATAGAGATATAAAGCTTTAGCTTGCCCTCTGGTTGAATAAACTGGTAGCTTTTAACATGTGGCACTCTTGTAGCTGGCCAGTCAGTCTGCTACATAATGATCCACTACAAAACTTGCAGCAGTACCTAGTGTAAAGCAGATTTAAGCGCATAAACCTTTTGCTGCTAGTGTTTATGATACCAGGTGTGAACTCACTGATGAACCTGATATTTCTTTACTCTGTTATTATTTCACCTTCACTACTCTGCCTGTTTTTACAACAATAAAGCTATTCAATAAGCATTCATTAACAATACCTGATTTACGAGCTGTGATGAGTATATTCTAGAAAGCAAATTAACCTATAGCATAAATAATTGTAAAATAATTAGGGCCTATAGTTGTATACATAAATCTAGTAATGCAATGCATGAAGCAATATTATAGCATAATGAAATATTGCTAATATTAGGTTGCTGTTTGTTTTTAAATTATTATTATTATTTAAATTATTAGCTTGTAAAACTGTTTTTTTACAAATAGTCTAGAACAATCTTCAAAATATAACTCCTTACTGCAGGGTAGTTTGGATTTGTGTAGAATAAATTTGAAGTGATTAAACCCCCTTTATCAACTCAGCTCCATGTAGTCCCATACACCTGTATGTCATGTAAATGATAATGTTATCTCCACAGTGTTGAGCTGGGCAAGGTCCTGGCTAAAGCTATCCTCCCAGAGCTGACGTCAGCTGATGTCATCAACAGCCACGACTCCTCAACCAATGGTCTCATTAACTTTATTAAGGCACGCAAACCTTGATGGGTTAAGTTGCTTCTCACCTAGTTTATTTATTTATCCATGTGCTAGACAAGTTTACTGCACCATCCATATCCACTTAATGTACATCATTCATATCCGTAGAGAAAGTGAAACCACAGGATCTGATTTTTTTTATTGAGTTGATTATAAAAAAAAACAAGTTCAATCAAAACAAATTCTTGTAGTTCAATGTGATGATTTCTGTGATATTCTATGTACTAGAACTTGACATATGGGAGAACTCATGCAAACCACGCCTACTTTTGCCAGCAGGTAGGCCAACTTTGACAGGTAGGAGACAGGGTGCCACCCCCCACAGTGTTAGTTCTGTTCATTCATTCACACATTGCTTGTATTTTATACATTCAAATTTATATTGTTCTTTTTGTTGACAGTGTGTGAATTATCTTGAAGCTTGTATATTTATTGCGATCAATGAAAGATAGCGGCTTGTGTTAGTGAAATACCAGAATGTGATAGAGACTTTGTGTTAGTCAATTAATTCAGTGCTTAAAGTTGAATCAACTGAAATAAATACATAAATCTCCCAGTGGCTGACTGTTACTTGCTTTTTTTCACAACAATGTTAATAAAAATTAGAAGTTGAGTTTGACAAGAACTATTTTATATTTTTATTTAATTTAATTAAAATATCAGTTGTACAAGTAAGTTTATAGGTCATACTAAACTCCTAAGATGTGTTTTACTATAATTTGTCATTCTGTAGGTCAGCCTATGCTATCAGTTGTACAAGTCCATCTGTAGGTCAGCCTATGCTATCAGTTGTACAAGTCAGTCTGTAGATCGCCTAAAGCTTGGGTCAACTTTTTCACTTTGTTCTCCATTGCCCTTTTAGTTGCCTCTGTTTCTCTCAGCATCTGGCGCATTTCTTCTTCCACCAGCAGTACCTGCACAAGGTTTTAAGACATTTTTATTTCAGGCACATCTACACAACACATGCTACTACAGATTTCTTCAAATTTGCGATAAAAAAACATGATCCTTTTGGACCAGGTGGTCCATTGAGCAGGTGAAGTAGAGTTCACCTGTTTCAGTGACTTCAGCATATGAAGGTCAGAAAAATGCTCGGCCGCCTTTACTTTCCTTACCGTTAGTCAGGTACCCAATCGAGTTGGCTTGAACTCGTTACTTTGGGTTACTATCCGACCACGTCGTCCGATACGGACACTGACCAAGTTTATTTCTTTAACCTTTTTTTTTTTAATTGAGAGAGGGATTTGCTTGACTCTCATAAAAATAAAATCTGTTTACTACCTTTTCATTAGCCAGATCTAATTCTTTTTGTTTTTCCAATTCCATGCGAGTTATCTTTTCCTGAAACGTTGCCTCCTTGAGATCAATTTGTTGCCTGAAAACGTCGTCGGCGTGTTTGAGTTTTTCATTGAGTTCTCTGAAATAAAAAAAATAATCTGGCAATCAGAACACAGACTTGGATAGTAGAGGCTCGGAAAATCTTGTGGTTAGTTTCTATCTTCAGGTCTGGTTAAATGTTTTTTTTTAGATCGTCTAAGTCAGTCTAACAAAGTCGCAGTATCAACACACGAAGGCATTCAGTGAAACAAAAACGCGTCAGTTGGCTTAAATTAAACCATAAGCTAAATCTTTTCTAACCAATATCTGCTTTGTGAGGTTGATCAAACTACTACTGCAATATAAGTAATTTCCCTGAAGGGTCGGGGCACAATAGGCCGAGAACCGTTACTCAAACACAAATGTACGAGGGGCGAGAAAATCCTGCCCATCTCCGATGTATTTGCCTACATAGCATGCGCATATATAGGGGGTGATACTGAAAGCATTGAAAACATCACGAGGGTGCTGCCGACGTGTAACTTAACATAGTACGGCTGTCATTTTTTGGGTTCACGGGGAAGGGGAGAGGAAGAAAAGGGTTTTAAATTTTAACAACCCCTGACTACGCCACTGGGTGGAATTAGGGTTCGCCTGAGCACCAAACAGTGTTTCTTCCAGACTTTTTTCTCCGGGGGGGCACTTGAAATCTTCGGGGGGGGGGCGGTAAACTTTCTTCGGGGGGGGGGGGGGCGGACACTGTTAAAAGTATATATTTTCTATATAAATTATATAAATTTCATTTCGTTCGGGGGGGCGGTAAAATTTTTCGGGGGGGCTTCGCCCCCCCCCGAAGAGATGCCTGGAAGAAACTCTGGCACCAAAGTAAGATGCCATTCCTCTGCCTGTTAACATTTTACGATTTGCTTTTGTAACAATGGAGAAAACGACAGTTCTAAAATCTTCTATTGTTCTGATTATAAAAAAAAAAAAAACACTTCCTTTCACTCATTCGTTTAAAAAAGTAAGATAAGAAAAAAAAAGAAACAATGTTAAAGAAAAAAAAAAGACAGCAGCCCTGTCTCCAGCAGACTCACTTGGCATGCTGTAGCGCGGCGTCCCGGTCTTGAGAGAGCTGAACTTCCTTGAGGGCCCAGCCGTCTTTCATCTTGCGAACTTGCTGCTCCAGGCGGCCAATCAGCTCCGACTTGTCCTTCCAGCGGGCACTCAATGAACTGGCGGGGTGGAACACACATCTTCAACGTGGGTTACAACTTGGGGGAATTTGCAACGTTTTTTTTTTTAAGGGAGTGGGCGGGGATAATTGGATAAGTATAGTACGAGTGCAAAGAATACAAGTAGATTTTAGGAGTGAAGGACAGTTTGTCTGCTGCCAGTAATGGAGGAAAACATCGCGAAAAACAGCGGTGCGTTTCTTTTACAAATATTTTTACTTCCATCTAGACCAGGGGTCTCCAAACTTTTCAGTCCGAGGGCCGCATTAACTATCAAATTTCAGTTCGGGGGCCAGTTAGTTCCAGGCATGTCTTTGATTTTTCTGGGCAAAGTTCCTCAGCCATCACCAACAAACGTTTTTTTCTGAGGACAAAAAGATCGCCGCGGGCCGGATGAGAGGACCTCGCGGGCCGCATCCGGCCCGCGGGCCGTAGTTTGGAGACCCCTGATCTAGACTCTTAGTGCTTCTGATATTATTTAAAGAGCATTTTATTTTTGAATCACATAAAGTATAATTAAAAACTAAGTATCGAACAAAAAGAATTATTAATAAAATCTAAAAACTATATAAAGCTGTTAATTTCGTAAGCTTTATTTAAAAATTTCATTTAGTGCCTAGATCTATTTGTTTTTCATAAAATTGAAGTAAGAGCATGTTTTTGTAAATATAGTACCAGTAGCCCCCCCCCCCCCCCTGTATTTTAAAGGGGAGGTCACTATTGGCCCACAAGCGGAAACACGGATAATCACTTTGTTATTAGAAGCTACAGGACTCAAATTAAATGATCTACTATTTCAAAAGACCTAATTTTCCCTCATAAATATTAATTTGTTAAGTCGCCCCAGGGGTGGGGCTTATGATCTTGTGTGGTCTCCCATATGCACTCTTCTTTTATCAAGATAATTATTGAAGAATTTCGCTCCCCGTGTACCTGCCTAATTAGCCTGCACTTTCCTGTTCGTTACTACAGCAGGTTTCTACCTACACGTCCATTACCACAGGACGCTACAGCACATACGGGACGGTGGGTAGGAAGGTGGAGCATACGATCGATAACCCGAAAGTCTCGAGTTCAGATCCCGGGCTCGAGTCTGTAGAACATGGCTCTGATGGCCACCTGATTCACGATATGGAAAGTAAAGGCATAGTGCTGACCAAGCTATTCTTGAATAAACCAAGGTAACAGAAACAGATGAACTCTACTTCATCTACACATGGTCCGCCAGGTTCGATCGGATAACTTTATTACTGCACCTACCTGCGCAGAGACTAAGACTCTACACTACACATACATGTCCAATACCACATGACTTTACTGCACCCACCTGTCCAGCACCCAGAACTCTACTGCACCCACTTGCCCATCACCCAGGACTCTACCTCAATCACCTGTCCAGCACCCAGAACTCTACTGCACCCACCTGCCCATCACCCAGAACTCTACTGCACCCACCTGCCCATCACCCAGAACTCTACTGCACCCACCTGCCCATCACCCAGAACTCTACTGCACCCACCTGCCCATCACCCAGAACTCTACTGCACCCACCTGCCCATCACCCAGGACTCTACTGCACCCACCTGTCCATCACCCAGAACTCTACTACACCAACCTGTCCATGACCCAGAACTCTACTGCACCCACCTGTAGGTTTTCTTGGTGTCGTCCAGCTCCTGCTGTAGACTGTTGACCTGTTCCTTGAGTTCCTGCTTGCGACCAGTGGCTCGGTCTAGCAGCTCCTAGAGGGTTACAGAACAGTCATACAGTCAATAAGTCATGGGGCACAGTCATACAGTCAATAAGTCATGGGGCACAGTCATACAGTCAATAAGTCATGGGGCACAGTCATACAGTCAATAAGTCATGGGGCACAGTCATACAGTCAATAAGTCATGGGGCACAGTCATACAGTCAATAAGTCATGGGGCACAGTCATACAGTCAATAAGTCATGGGGCACAGTCATACAGTCAATAAGTCATGGGGCACAGTCATACAGTCAATAAGTCATGGGGCACAGTCATACAGTCAATAAGTCATGGGGCACAGTCATATAGTCAATAAGTCATGGGGCACAGTCATACAGTCAATAAGTCATGGGGCACAGTCATACAGTCAAGTGATGGGACACATATATACAGTCAAGTGATGAGACACAGTCGTTCAGTCAAAGTCATGGGACACAGTCATTCAGTCAAAGTCATGGGGCACAGTCATTCAGTCAAGTATGGGACACAGTCATTCAGTCAAAGTCATGGGGCACAGTCACACAGTCAAGTTATGGGACACAGTCATACAGTCAAGTTATGCGACACAGTCATACAGTCAAGTGATGGGACAGTCATGCAGTCAACAAGTCATGGGACAGTCATTCAATCAAGTCATGGGACACAGTCATTCAGTCAAGTCAATTATAAGACGTTCCTATTTTAAACATGTTAGGATTAAGCCGGGCACATGCTAGAGTCTAGCACCTAGACTATGGTTAGACCAACAGCGATATCGTCTATTTGATTCTAGACTAGCCACGACTGTCCGTTACTGCATGATTGGAAAAGAATTCTCTCCCCAGCTGACGTCATATAGTTCTAACCCCCGTCTCCCCATATACATAATTCAAATCAAAATCGTCTGAAACAGCAGACTACCCGCTCGCCCCCCCCCCCCATTTCCCTGAATGACGTCATTTACAGACTAGTAAGCCTCGTATAGAAAAAAGACATAATGGAGTTATCAAACCTCTGTAGCAATAACTTTACCTCAGCAGTCAACCATTAACCCTGGATGTAGAGAGTTAGACTGCTAACCTGTATGTCTCGAGTTCGAATTCGGGTTCGAGGCAGTAGACCGTCCTCGAGTTCACCCAGTTCAGATGGGTACCTAACTCACGTTAGGGTAAATAAGGCTGACCACACTATCTCTTCATTTGCCGAGGTCACAGAAACAGATGAACTCTACTTCAGTTGCCCCAAAGACCGTCAGGTTTGTAAGGAGATCTTTACTACCTTTACTAGCAACCACCTTACCATTATGCAGCAACCACCTTATCCCAGCAGTCAATCACCTTACACCATCAGCCAACCACCTTACACCATCAGCCAACCACCTTACCCCATCCTCCAACCATATTACCCCAGTAGCCAACCACCTTAACCCAGCAGCCAACCACCTAATCCCATCATCCAACCATATTACCCCAGAAGCCAACCATCTTAACCCAGCAGCCAACCCTCTCACAACATCAGCCAACCTTACTCCATCAGCCAACCCCCTCACCCCATCAACCAACCACCCTACCCCATCAACCAACCACCTTACCCCATCAGCCAACCACCTTACCCCAGCAGCCAACCACCTTACCCCAGCAGCCAACCTTACCCCATCAACCAACCACCTTACCCCATCAGCCAACCACCTTAACCCAGCAGCCAACCTTACCCCATCAACCAACCACCCTACCCCATCAACCAACACCCTTACCCCAGCAGCCAACCCTCTCACCCCATCATCCAACCCCCTTACCCCATCAGCCAACCCCCTTACCCAACCCTCTCACCCCATCAGCCAACCCCCTTACTCAACCCTCTCACCCCATCAGCCAACCCCCTTACCCCATCAGCCAACCCCTTACCCCATCAGCCAACCCCCTTACCCAACCCTCTCACCCCATCAGCCAACCCCCTCACCCCATCAGCCAACCCCCTTACCCCATCAGCCAACCCCCTTACCCCATCAGCCAACCCTCTCACCCCAGCAGCCAACCACCTTACCCCAGCAGCCAACCCTCTCACCCCATCAGCCAAACCCCCTTACCCCATCAGCCAACCCCCTTACCCAACCCTCTCACCCCATCAGCCAACCCCCTTACCCCATCAGCCAACCCCCTTACCCAACCCTCTCACCCCATCAGCCAACCCCCTTACCCCATCAGCCAACCCTCTCACCCCAGCAGCCAACCACCTTACCCCATCAACCAACCCTCTCACCCCATCAACCAACCCCCTTACCCCATCAGCCAACCTCTCACCCCATCAACCAACCCCCTTACCCCATCAGCCAACCCCCTTACCCCATCAGCCAACCCTCTCACCCCAGCAGCCAACCACCTTACCCCAGCAGCCAACCCTCTCACCCAATCAGCCAAACCCCCTTACCCCATCAGCCAACCCCCTTACCCAACCCTCTCACCCCATCAGCCAACCCCCTTACCCCATCAGCCAACCCCCTTACCCAACCCTCTCACCCCATCAGCCAACCCCCTTACCCCATCAGCCAACCCTCTCACACCAGCAGCCAACCACCTTACCCCATCAGCCAACCCTCTCACCCCAGCAGCCAACCACCTTACCCCAGCAGCCAACCCTCTCACCCCATCAGCCAACCCTCTCACCCCATCAGCCAACCCTCTCACCCCAGCAGCCAACCACCTGACCCCATCAGCCAACCCTCTCACCCCATCAGTCAACCCCCTTACCCCATCAGCCAACCCTCTCACCCCATCAACCAACCCCCTTACCCCATCAGCCAACCCTCTCACCCCATCAACCAACCCCCTTACCCCATCAGCCAACCCCCTTACCCCATCAGCCAACCCTCTCACCCCAGCAGCCAACCACCTTACCCCAGCAGCCAACCCTCTCACCCAATCAGCCAAACCCCCTTACCCCATCAGCCAACCCCCTTACCCAACCCTCTCACCCCATCAGCCAACCCCCTTACCCCATCAGCCAACCCCCTTACCCAACCCTCTCACCCCATCAGCCAACCCCCTTACCCCATCAGCCAACCCTCTCACCCCAGCAGCCAACCACCTTACCCCATCAGCCAACCCTCTCACCCCAGCAGCCAACCACCTTACCCCAGCAGCCAACCCTCTCACCCCATCAGCCAACCCTCTCACCCCATCAGCCAACCCTCTCACCCCAGCAGCCAACCACCTGACCCCATCAGCCAACCCTCTCACCCCATCAGTCAACCACCTCACCCCATCAACCAACCCTCTCACCCCATCAACCAACCCTCTCACCCCATCAACCAACCCTCTCACCCCATCAACCAACCACCTTACCCCGGCAACCAACCCCCTTACCCTGGTCTCCTCCAGACTCCCCCTTAGCTCCGTCTGCTGCTCCTCTGACGTCCTCTGTATGGCCAGGTTTTCTTCTCGTGTTGCCCGGATGGTTTCATCTCTCTCTACCAGAGCCTGGTGGTAGGTGGCATACATTAGGTGTCATACATTAGGTCAGAGGTGTCATTTACATTGTCATACATTAGGTCAGGTGTCATTTACATAGTCATACATTAGGTCAGGTGTCATTTACAGTCATTCTGTAGGTCATTTACTAGTGATAGACAGGTTTTTTTTTGACAGATAGCCCCCTACATTCAAACAATTGATAGACAGAGACACATATTAACACATTTGTAGTTTAGTGGTAGCTGTTTGGCTTGCAAACCATTCATGAGCAGGGATCAAGATAGCCCAGGTCAGTGGCCTCTGTCACAGGTCAAAACTTAGGTTAACATTCCTCAAAAAGTTTGGCTGCACAAGCTAATAACAGTGCAGGAACAATAACTACGTGATTTTAAATCATAAGACAAATATGTATAACAATACAATAAGTTACAATTTTAAAAAAATATTAATTTACAAAGAAAAAAATATAATTACCTAATGAAATGTTTTAATTTGAAATTACTTGTATGAAAACAAATAATTAAAGTCCCCCATCTGTCTGCCCCTCCCCACCCCTTGCGCACCGCAGTATCAGGCGACAATATAGCTCCACCTTCAGCCTACAACACACAACAGAGCTAAGTCCAATATAGTGACACACATAATTGAAACACTTCACCTCTTTCAGTTTTCTGATTGTTTCCGTTTGATCGTCCACCATCTTTGTTTTGATTTTCACAGTGTCAACTTCTCGCTATTTAGAAAAAAAACCAAAAAGTTCATTTTGTGTTCAATCTCAGAGAAAATAAACGAATACTGTAAGCAAAGCATTAACACGGATATTGTAGAACAAAGCCGGAAACACAGGCCATGTAGCTTATAACACTTGACAAATGCCATTTTACACTTGACATATGGCCTTGTACTCTTGACAAATGCCTTGCATATTTGACAAATGCCCTTCTACATTTGGGACGGTGTGGCCTAGCGGTACAGAGTTGGACTGCAAACCCTTAAGTTTCGAGTTCGAATCCGGTTTCAAGTCAGTAGACCGTCACTGAGTCCACCCAGCTCTGATAGGTACCTAGCTCACGTAAGTAAAGGCGGCTGGGCATAGTGCTGACCACACACAAACTGGTGAACTTTACCTCACTTGAACCATGCCCTTGTACTCTTGTCATAAATCTTATACTTGCAGGGGTGGACTAGATGTGGTCCAGTGAATTATAATAAGGGCCCCCAGCCCAAGTTAAAAATTTTCATTTTTCCCTATATCAAAACCTGATGATCATCTTAAGCTTCGTGGAAATTTACGCGACAAGGTATAAAAATCAATCAATCAAAGCACTAATAGGTCTACAACCGGACTGTTCAGTGGCCCACCGGTATTTCTTTTACCTAGGGGCCCACAGGGAATTTTCCCCGGTAGACCGGCGGGCCAGTCCACCCCTGTGCACTTGACCCAAGATAGACCACTGTACACACAACTAAGACACATAATGAAATAGAAGACTGAAACAAACTCACCTCCAGCTGTTTCTTTAGGGCTGAAACCTCCGATGCTAACGTTTCTATTTTAACCTCCAGTCTCCCACGGTCTTGTGCTAGACTGGCCCCTAGAGAGTTACACAAACATTTATGCACAGTAGATTTATAAACACAGTGTAAATATAAACACAATGTAAATATAAACACAGTGTAAATATAAATTGTTAAGTTAAAACATCTTGTGACAGACTTACTAACAAAACCCTAACCGCTATAGGATTTTTTTGCTAGGACTTTTAAAACAAAAACAGATTGTTAAGTTCGAGGTCCGAGCGTTCGCGTGTGGAAACTAAAGATGTTTTCTAATGCAGAACTGATATGAGCCAACCCTGTTCGAGGTCCGAGCATTCGAAGATCGAGACCAAATGTGTGTTCTAGAAAAGAACTGCCATATGCTAACTCCGTAGTTCAGTTTTTCGAAGTTTGAACGTTCGAATGTCGAGACTAAAGAAATGATCCAGTGCAGAACTGATATGAATCAACCCCTTAGTTTAACTCGAGGTCCGAACGTTCGAATGTCGAGACTAAAGAAATGCTCTAGACGAGAACTGACCTTGGTGGGCGAGTTCCTGACCCCACAACTTCCGCTCAGCTTTCAGGCCCTCTATAACAGATTCCTGTGCTTGTATCGTTGACTGGAGCTTTGAGGTTTTCTGTACGATGATAAAAATAACATTTTCTTATTTTGTGGAAACACACATTTTCTTATGGGATTGATTTTAAAAACGACGTCAAGTTTTTAAAATCAATTATTATTCCCCTTCCCTATTGCCCATCTATTGACATAAAGATCCTCCCCTTAAAAGGACGTAACATCTCATCTAACACCCATCTAAACCTCTAAAAATTGCATTTTTTAAAAAATACAGCGATCTCCATTCCAAATATTTACAGAAAACCATCAATTGATCAACTGTTATTACTATTTACACATTTTTGTTTAGTGCAAAAGTGTGGAGTAATTAACACGTTTAGAACACCCTCGCCCCCCCCCCCCCAAGGGCCGTCCCCCCCCCCCTCCCCCCTCCGTATAGGAGTGTGACGTCGTTATGGACGACCCCTGGATGAATCATACGCACGTTACATTACCCAGTTATTAATAAGCAAGGCAATCTCTAGCAGTTGAAAGACATATTTATATTAGGGCATTTGGAAACATTTAGCCCAGTGGTTCTTAACTTTTTTTTTGGTGGTACCGAACCCCACCAGTTTTATACGTGCATACACAGAACCCTTCTGAATAACTTTTATTGTCAGCACTGACTAAATCCGATCGTAAGTCGGGTGTGTGTCTTGACGTCCGCCGAACCCCTGACTCACCGAACCCCTGACTCACCGAACCCCTGACTCACCGAACCCCTGACTCACCGAACCCCTGGGTTTAGAACGAACCCAGATTAAGAACCACTGACGTAGCACCGAACATGTTTTCCTCAGCTAACAGGCTGGCAATAATAAATTAAGGGGATTGAAACCGTGAATTTCTAATTACTTTCTTACACCTGTAATCAGCGTTTTAATCTTCATCTAATAATTAACACCTTTTGAATGTTTACATTCATTTCCTTTTATCTTGAAAAAAAAAATGAAAACAGATTTGCTTAATTAAACTAAGACGGAAAAAGATGCATTTTACGGTCTACGTTTAGACGAGACAAAATAAATTTCGATGATAAACTCGACAAGCCTTGAATGTAAACTTTGTGTTTTCTTGTTATCTGAGGGTTTGTTATTTCTTACTACTCCACAATTTACTAGTTTTTAAAAAAAAACTTTTTATTTAATATATATTGTTAATTTTATTTGTTAAACTATTTCGTTATCTAACACTATTACATAGGTCTGGTTGTTTAACTGCAATGTAAGTTCAACTGTCATACTATACAAATGAATAAAATTACTTTAAATCAAATTCAAGCAGATTTATATTTTTTTTCAAGATGAAATCTTGATTTAAGCTTATTCACAAACAATTGATCTGGCTAGCTGGCATGTTTTATTGACCAATCAGACACGCTTGCCGGCGTGTAATGATGACGTCAAGGTTAACCGAGAGAACACACCAACCTGGCGGAGTAGCTCCAACTGTGTCAGCTGTTTCCTGGCGGCCCCGAGCTCGTCTTCAAGACTTTCAATCCTCTCCTAGACACAAGACAGTGGATAAGGTTAGACATGACATGACGGCGGTAGTTGGACGGACCAGGTGATCAACATGCCCAACACCAGCGCAAGGACTGGGTGATCAATTCGTCCAACTAATTGTCATAGAATTAAACCAACAACTTGTCATCACTACCCCGTGTGTCTCTAACAACAGACCAACTATCATGGGCATATATATATATATATATATATATATATATATATGTAACTGGGGTAGGCCTAACTACCAGTTACAAATGATAACGAACGAGAAGCCGAGACACAGTGTTGGTCTGATGCAACCGATAACAGGTGGCTTATTGGGTCGGGCTGATAACAACCTCAAAGCCGGCGCGTGCTATTTTGGGAAACGGTATTCAGACGGCCTGTCGGCTTTGATGGATAGGACGCAGATGTTATTTTACGGTCTGTACGTTTGAACTACGCAACTGGTGGTCGGAGATCGAGTACAAGTATCGATTACGGAGGAATACAAGTACGGAGACGAGTACGGATACAAGGCATAAATAGGAGGGCACGGCAGGACTCGTTCTCTCTCTTCCCGTTTCAGCGAGCTCTCTTCCATCTTCATCGCTCGCTTAGATCAGTCAGTCTGTGTGACTATGTCAAGTCGGTTATAGAACGGGTTAGCCGTATTGTGTTAAGGAGGATTATAGACATGTGGATTCAGTTATATAAAGCCTAGTGAAGGACTGTTAGGGGTCAGTTGATTCAGACTATTATTGAGAAGCATTCCTGTTGATTTATTGTGTTATTATGAAGCATTTCTTGATTCATGTAATAAAGGATCAATAGCGAACCTGCATCTTGAGTATCTATACTGTGGTCAATGTTGTCTAGAATGAGTGGTTAAACTCGTTAACACGTGGCACTACAGGCAATTAGGTCTCATTACATGTGGCGTTGCGAGCATGGTAACTGTTGGCTCGTTACAATTGGCGTTGTCGGCAGGATAAATGTTCGCTCGTCACAATTGGCGCTGCGATCAGGATGAATTCAACTAGACTTGCCGTTTAAGGCACCTATAGTCAACCTTGTGCATAACTGTGTTTAGTGTGTGTGTGAATTCGGACATTCAGGAACTGTGAAAATTGAGGAACGAGGAAAAATTTTTCATACACACACGGTAAGAAAGAACTCTTTTTTTTTTAGTACTTAAGGAAGAAAATGTCTACTCTGGACGAGAAGCAGACCCATATAGTGGTCCTACCCAGAGAGTCCCATATTAACAAATTTTACGGGGACGGAGATCCAACTTTAACCAACAGGTTCAGTGAAGAGGTCAAAGCGGCCTGGGCCTCGAGACATATGTCACCAGAGGAAAGATTAAGACTGCTGATGGGCAGTATAGGTGAAACGGTTAGGGCAGAGGTTAAGTGCCACGATAGGACCGTCCAATCAGATCCAGATAAGGTGCTAGATCTGATTATGGAGACCTTTGGGGAGAGACGGTCGGGAGTGCAACTGCTATCGGGATTCGTGGGCTTAAAGCAGAGAATGGCGGAGAGTGTGATGGAGTACTCACACAGGATGAACAGGGCCTTTGATTTGGTAAAGGGCAAATCACCGGACATTGATGTACGCCTACTGAGGGACCATTTCATCGAGGGGCTAGCAACCCCGATCTTAAGGAGAGAGTTGAAAGAGGAGGTCCACAGAGACCAGCAGTTGACCTTCCTTCAGGTCAGGAACTCAGCGATCCGCAGGTCCGAGGATGAGGACCAATCGAACTGTTCGGTGGACAAAGTCTCTGTGCCTGAACAAAGACAATCCCCACCCACAGGGGCCGACACGATGGAGACCATGATGGCTCAACTGTTGGCCCACCTAGAGAAGGTTGACCAACGCTTGAAGTGGTTGGAAAGCAGGTCAACAGCTGAGAATCAGGAAAAGAACGGTACAAAACAGGGACGGGTTGGACGGCCGCGTCCTGCCAAGCCATCACTCCAATGGACGGCCGACGGTCGACCAATTTGTTTGTCTTGTTCACAACCCGGACATATGGCACGGTACTGTCCGGTGAAACGATCGCCCTCTGTACGGCAGGTCAAGGCTACAGAGCGGCGAGGTAATGACTTAGTAAACAAAATGACAAAGAAACACAGTAAGGAGAAAAAGAAAGGCAAAACACAACTAATGGAAAAAATGAACTGTGAAATGAACTTGAATGTTGAACAGTTTCAAGTGAACAATTTGTTGGTAGAGAAAAATGATGATAAGAAGAAAATTGGTAGACTTAATAAAGGAATTCAAAGTCTAACCAGGAAACTGGATAGGGAAAGTTCATGCAAATTAAAAGCACAGGAGAAATGTTCATCTTTAAAGTGTCTGTTATCGGAAGAAGTAAATAAAAATAGTAGACAACAGAACAGTGTTGGCAAACTAGAAGAAATGAAAGAGTCTCAAACAAGACTTGAAGAAAAATTATCAGATATTGGAAAAGAACTTCAAATTACAGCAAGGCTGGGATCCATCGAACAGCGATGGGCAGCAGAATTGGCACTCGTTGACCTAGAGAGAAAACATCGCCCGGGGCGGTCCAATGGCAATGCGGACGCTTTATCAAGGAATCCTTACGAGAGACCGGGTGATGAGGAAGAAACACTGACAGGAATATGTGAGGTCAGAGCGTCAACAGATATCCCTCATGGGGTACAAGTGATGCAAAACGGGCAGACCGGGGTGGAGCACATATCCACGGAACCCGAACATATGGACAGTAGTGATTTTAATTGCCTTAATCACCAAAAGATAAGAGATGCCCAGAGAACGGATAGTGGCTTACAACCGCTATTGAAACACGTCCAGGAACAAAAATTCCCAGGAAGAAGGGAAAGAGAACAATTTGGTCGAGAAACAAAGAAAATACTGAGTCAGTGGAACCGTCTCAGTATAAAGGATGGTGTTCTCATGCGGAGAATTCATGACCAAATTGATGGCACAATACACCAGGTGGTGGTGCCGGGACAATTACGAGGAGAAGTGCTAAGGTTGGCACATGACAGGGCAGGACACCAGGGTCAGGACAGAACCCACAAAATATTACGACGGAGGTGTTACTGGCCCAATATGGAAATGGAGGTCAAACGCCATTGTGAGGCTTGTGTGAGGTGTCAGCATGCGAAAATGCCAGTTGTCAAAATGAGACAGCCATCAGGACACCTACTAGCGACAAAACCACTAGAGATTGTGGCTATGGACTTTACGTCGTTGGAGCAATCATCGGATGGGACGGAACATGTGTTGGTAATGACTGATGTATTCACCAAATGGACGGTGGCGGTGCCCACGCGAGATCAGACTGCCAAAACAGTGGCAAATGTCTTAATAGAACATTGGTTCATCAGATATGGCATACCAAGACAATTACACTCTGACCAAGGAAGGGCTTTCGAGTCAGAAGTAATTAACCAACTGTGCAGCCACTACGGGATCAACAAATCTAGAACAACCACATTTAATCCGAAAGGAAACGGACAGTGTGAACGGTTCAACCGCAGCATGCATGATTTGCTGCGTACGCTAGAACCTGAACAGAAAAAACGTTGGCCTGATTTTCTCCCAGAGTTGGTATATCTATACAACTGCACACCACATGCCACAACCGGCTTTCGCCATACATGTTGCTGTTCGGACGAGAGGCTCGACTCCCTCTTGATTTGTTCCTAGGAAAAAGGGAGAGTATGACTGGCTCATACACCGCACTGGAATATGTGAATGAACATATGAGAAGAATTAGAGAAATGTACAGGGTAGTACAGGAAAGACTAGAACATGAATCTCGGCGAAGGGAACCGCCGATACAGACGAAGGACCCGCCACTCAAACTGAATGACAGGGTATTACTGCGTAGCCACCCGTTAGGCAGAAACAAAATCCACGATCTCTGGGGACAGGAGATATGGCAAGTCGTGGAGATGCCTAAAGCAGCAGGTGGCCCCTTTAAGATAAGACCCATCGATCACGCCAAACCGGATCGGTGGGCGAATATTGCTCAATTAAAGAAATATTGGAATAGGCAAGAAGAGCAGTTACACACAGAGAAACCCAAGACAATTAGGGAACCGGAAGTTATAACGGAAATTCACATACCCATTCCGGAACCATATCACCATCAACAGAACAACAGCGATACGCAAGGGGAGGATACCGGCAACAATGAGGATCCCGGTCCCTCCAGAAGCAGAGAGACAGTAGACCATCAGATAAGTGGTCCGCGGAGAAGTTTAAGGAACAGAAGGAATACGAAATTTTTTGTCAGCAATCATCAATTCTTTCATGGTCGCGCTGGTATGAAAACAGACTGTTCAAAGAGCTATAGAAGTGAACTGGTGAAGGCACCAAATGGAAAGGGTGGATGTGAATTCTAGAACTGTTTTGTGTCTCAGGAAGATGATGTAGACACAGTTGATATGTGAAATAGGTAGAACTGTCAATCGTATACGAATGGAACGTCGTGGACAGTGAGTAGAACAATAGATTTTTTTTTACGACTGTGCGATTGACTTTGGAGGAGTGCACCTGCCAGGCGTTGTTTGTGGTTGAAAACACACAAAAAAAGCAGGGGTGGATGTAACTGGGGTAGGCCTAACTACCAGTTACAAATGATAACGAACGAGAAGCCGAGACACAGTGTTGGTCTGATGCAACCGATAACAGGTGGCTTATTGGGTCGGGCTGATAACAACCTCAAAGCCGGCGCGTGCTATTTTGGGAAACGGTATTCAGACGGCCTGTCGGCTTTGATGGATAGGACGCAGATGTTATTTTACGGTCTGTACGTTTGAACTACGCAACTGGTGGTCGGAGATCGAGTACAAGTATCGATTACGGAGGAATACAAGTACGGAGACGAGTACGGATACAAGGCATAAATAGGAGGGCACGGCAGGACTCGTTCTCTCTCTTCCCGTTTCAGCGAGCTCTCTTCCATCTTCATCGCTCGCTTAGATCAGTCAGTCTGTGTGACTATGTCAAGTCGGTTATAGAACGGGTTAGCCGTATTGTGTTAAGGAGGATTATAGACATGTGGATTCAGTTATATAAAGCCTAGTGAAGGACTGTTAGGGGTCAGTTGATTCAGACTATTATTGAGAAGCATTCCTGTTGATTTATTGTGTTATTATGAAGCATTTCTTGATTCATGTAATAAAGGATCAATAGCGAACCTGCATCTTGAGTATCTATACTGTGGTCAATGTTGTCTAGAATGAGTGGTTAAACTCGTTAACACGTGGCACTACAGGCAATTAGGTCTCATTACATGTGGCGTTGCGAGCATGGTAACTGTTGGCTCGTTACAATTGGCGTTGTCGGCAGGATAAATGTTCGCTCGTCACATATATATATATATATATATATATATATATATATATGGGCAGTGTTTCTCTCAGTCATCTCTGGGGGGGGGGGGGGGCAGGCACGTCCGTCGTCCAGCAGTTTAAAAACAAATATACCACCGTAAAGTACAAAGCTCAGCGGTATCAACAACGACAACAACCAACGACAGCATACATCGCCTGCTACACAACGTGAATCTGATGTACATAAATCACAGCTATCATCCAACCATTACACGGACATGCTGGAGATAACATTTGGTTTCCGGCATGCAGTAGATAACATCAGTCAAATCGTCTGTGTGGTACATCAGTCACATCAACGTACACCAGTCACAGCATCTCTGTGGTCCCAGCAGTCAAATCATCTTTGCGGTCCTATTAGTATTAGTCACAGTATCTTTGAGGTCCCATCAGTCACATCATGTTTGTGGTCCTATTAGTCACAGTATCTTTGTAGTCCCATCATCTTTGTGGTCCCATCATCTTTGTGGTCCTATTAGTCACAGTATCTTTGTGGTACCATCAGTCGCATCATCTTTGTGGTATATCAATCACATCAACGTACATCACATCATCTTTGTGGTCCCATCAGTCCCAACCCAGTCCCAACCCTCCGTGGTCCCATCAGTCCCAACCCTCCGTGGTCCCATCAGTCCCAGCCCTCCGTGGTCCCACTACCCACCTTATACGAGATGGTCTGTTCTTGTTTACATTTGGCCAGCTCAGCCAATCTTCCCTTCTGTTCCTTCACAAGCTGAAAATAAACAAGGACAATTTAAAAAAAAATAATATATTAAAACATTCTTCCTAGCACACTTTCAGACGTTCATTGATACCAAGGATAATAATATTAATATACAGTTACATGCTATATGACTTTAACAAAATTATACTCCATAAAATCAATAACACGTCAATGAATTAAAACTACATTTGTAAAACTCCATCACATTGTGAAGTCCTGGCTATTTCGGGACACAAAAAAAAAAAAACAACAACACAGATTTAGACGGGGATTAGGATATCGACTTCGGGAGTTCTGAAAGTATACAAATACATTATTTAACGATTTCTTTTAAAATTAACACCTTAAATATTTGGAAAAAAAGAACGTTCAATAAGAAATCGCCAGTTTCCGACAGAAACTATTGGTCTGATTCTCAGACGGTTTACATCACTGATACTAAGACAGAGAGGAAGATCTAACTCAATTCGACAGTGATGGAATGAAAACAAAGATGGCGGTGATGAACACGAACTTACAGCTGCCCACTGAGCTATATTACACAAGTCGGTTTATATATTAAAAAAACAACAACGATGGGTGCCCTTGCAGAACATTATTTAGGTGAGATGGTGCAAAACCTGACAACCCCCCCCCCCTCCCACCCATTTCTAGTCTAGAAAATAAATGCCTACTCTACTGTCCATAGCTACAGCCATATAGTCCTACTCTACTGTCCATAGCTACAACCATATAGCCCGACTCTACTGTCCAGGGCTACAGCCATATAGTCCTACTCTACTGTCCATAGCTACAGCCATATAGCCCGACTCTACTGTCCAGGGCTACAGCCATATCGGCCTACTCTACTGTCCAGGGATACAGCCATATCGGCCTACTCTACTATCCATAGCTGCAGCCATATAGCCCTACTCTACTGTCCATAGCTACAGCCATATAGGCCTACTATACTGTCCATAGCTGCAACCATATAGCCCTACTCTACTGTCCATAGCTACAGCCATATAGGCCTACTATACTGTCCATAGCTACAGCCATATAGGCCTACTATACTGTCCATAGCTACAACCATATAGCCCGACTCTACTGTCCAGGGCTACAGCCATATAGCCCGACTCTACTGTCCAGGGCTACAGCCATATAGCCCGACTCTACTGTCCATAGCTACAGCCATATAGTCCTACTCTACTGTCCATAGCTACAACCATATAGCCCGACTCTACTGTCCAGGGCTACAGCCATATAGTCCTACTCTACTGTCCATAGCTACAACCATATAGCCCGACTCTACTGTCCAGGGCTACAGCCATATCGGCCTACTCTACTGTCCAGGGATACAGCCATATCGGCCTACTCTACTATCCATAGCTACAGCCATATAGGCCTACTATACTGTCCATAGCTACAGCCATATAGGCCTACTATACTGTCCATAGCTACAACCATATAGCCCGACTCTACTGTCCAGGGCTACAGCCATATAGCCCGACTCTACTGTCCAGGGCTACAGCCATATAGCCCGACTCTACTGTCCAGGGCTACAGCCATATAGGCCTACTCTACTGTCCAGGGATACAGCCATATCGGCCTACTCTACTGTCCATAGCTGCAGCCATATAGCCCTACTCTACTGTCCATAGCTGCAACCATATAGGCCTACTCTACTGTCCATAGCTGCAACCATATAGGCCTACTCTACTCTCCATAGCTACAGCCATATAGGCCTACTATACTGTCCATAGCTGCAACCATATAGGCCAACATTACTGTCCATAGCTGCAACCATATAGGCCAACATTACTGTCCATAGCAATTCGCCCCACAACTACCTCTACCTAACCGAAGCTACAAATGTCACAGTGACACGCAAGCCCCAATCCCAAAAGCCCAACGAAGCCCCAAAAGCCCATTGTCCCCAGATCCCCCTACCTAGACAAGCAGATGCATGCAGCAGAGACAGATAACACATCCTAGACATTACAGCCGGGCAGATGGGGCGGGGGATAACAGGCGCGGCCATTAACACGGTCACGTGATACTAAACTACCAGGCGAGAGGTCCCGACCCCTGGCGGAGAAATAAATGGCAGGGGTCAATGGGTACACAACTGCCAGAGGCATCTCAACGTCTGAGGACTAATTAGGGGAGAGAGGAAATGGCGTGAGTACACATCCTTAGTGGGAAGACAAGGACTGGTCAAAACTTTCTTTGTGTAGCTGGGAGGGTTGGTTTCAGAGGGCGTATAGAGGACAAAGGACAGCTTTGGTAGGATATATATATATATATATATATATATATATATATATATATATATATATATATATATATATATATATATATATATATATATATATATATATATATATATATATATATATAGTATGTATATGATGTAGAGAATATAATGGAATTTGTTTTGACAATGCCGAAGTATTACTAGTACGCCCATGCTGATTATAATAACTTAGACTTTTGATTAGTTTATACATATTCATGCATTTCATCGGCGGTTTCGCAACTTTTTATCTGTGGTCAGCAAGGTCCACACGAGAGCTTGTCGATTCCACACTTTGATACTCCTGACTTCGATACTCCAGACTTGGATACTTCAGACTTCGATACTTCAGACTTCGATACTTCAGACTTCGATACTTCAGACTTCGATACTCCAAATTTCGATACTTCAGACTTCGATACTCCAGACTTCGATACTCCACATTTCGATACTGCACATTTCGATACTTTAGACTTCGATACTTTAGACTTCGATACTCCAGACGTCGATACTCCAGAATTCGATACTCTAGACTTCGATACTCTAGACTTAGATACTCCAGACTTCGGTACTCCATACCTCGATACTACACACTTCGATCCTCTACAACTTGAAGAGTGCTCGACCCTAACGCCAGTCATAAAAACGCCCCAAATCGCCTGTATTCGATTTTTAATAATCATCTTTTAGTGCAGAGCTAGATTCTAGTGTACACATAATCTCCAAAGTCGGTGTGCATGAATGGCACCTCTGAGGGACAGAGAGAGCAGAGATATTGGACATAGGGCGCAGCTTGGAGAAGATGATGTTAGCTTTTTCATGAGCTTCGATAAGTTGTTGCTCAATATCGTAGCGGTGGGATTGCTAATTTTACAGCAGTTATTGTTTACTTTTTGTGTGTGCGATATTTGGTAAAAACAAACATAGGGCAAGGTTGAATGTGAGGGCTCCATATGAAAACTATAAACTTTGGCGAATTTAGAATTAAAAATGTTATGTTTATAACTTGTTTTGTGTCTGATTTTTCAAGTTCAAGAAAAAAATAAAATAAAATAAAATAAAATAAATAAAATAAATAGAATAAAAAAAAATGAAAAATATAAAATAAAAAAAATAAAAAAAAATAAAAAATAAAAAAAATAAAAAAAATAAATAAAATAAATAAAATAAATAAATAAAATAAATAAAATAAATAAAATAAATAAAATAAAATAAATAAATAAAATATATAAATAAGTTAAATAAATAAATGAAATAAAAAAAAACAAATAAAATAAATGTAATAAAATAAATAAATAAAATAAATAAAATAATTGAAATAAAAAAAAAAGATTGGTCTAAATAGACGCCTGTGTTTATCTTATCGACAATCTTTTCCCTGTGAGTTATTGTGTTGGGCGCAGGACGCAGCTAAGCCCCGGGGCCATATAACTGGGACTGGCCACTATTAAAAACTTTTTAAAATGACGTTTTATTCATTACAAGGTTATGGAAAATCTTTCACTCAACAAAAATGGCGCCCTGAAATAATCCAATGCACCTTATGCTATTTTCTGTGTTTTTCGTTGTTCATTTAATTAGACGAAGCCGTAATATCGAAACTTCGTTTGTAGTGTTTGTTATTACGTGCGTCTTTTGTTGTCCCATGTTTAAAATCAATATGCCATTATAATTCCTTTACCGCATTCTATTTCACAATTAGGTCATTATGATAGTAAAAAATTAGGTTAAGATTTCCATTACACCACTGACAGCGGAGTGAGGTTATTAACATGTTTTGTAAAACACTCACACAAATTTGCGCACCGAACTGCGCTAATGGTGCTATCCGCTGCGGTGCGAAAGTTTGGTACTATTTTAAAATCTTAACGTCGTTATGCGGGACACACAGAGAAAACATCAACCTCTTCACCTTTACGACACTGATAAATCTTATTGTTGGCATCACGTGATGGCGTAGCCACATCCAACGACAGCAGTCAAAAAACAACAAGAAGAAAGAAAACATGATTCAATATTTGACGACCTTTTTACTTTGTTTTCACGAAGAAAATGAAATCGAACGCGAATCATGAAAGGTTTTAACGACCGATAACCTCATTAAGACGTGTTATTTTTCTAATTTTTTTTCTCTCATTTATAGTCTAAATAACGTAGAATGAAATGAAGCAAGAGACTTCGGTAGAGTAGTAAATATTTAGGACAACGTCAGATGAATGTTTCGGACAGAAGTGGCCAGATTTTCGGAAGCCTTTAGGCCTTTTTTATGTTTCCCTACAGGGTAATATGGCAGCGTGTGGAGTTTTTTTTTTTCATGCGTGAGTTACTGTAAGGTCTAAAATTAAGGTCAAGGTCAATGTGACGGTATTAACCAAGAGAAAAAAAGACTTCGATCAAGCCCTATCAAGGGACATCTGCTGTTGTTATTAGTATTTAGCAGGAATGTTAAGGTCACATAAGGCAAAAAAGTTAACATGAAATTTTAAGGTCAAATATGGGAAAAAGCAAATAATTTTAAGGCCACATTTGGCAAAAATTAGCATAAAATTTCAAGGTCACGTCAAAAAGTTAACAGGTAATTTTAATGTCATATGACAAAAAAGTTAACAGAAAATTTATGGTCACATAATGCAAAGAAAAAAAAATCAAACTCTTAAAAATTTCCAACCCACACAACGGATCGAATGTCTAAGATGAAAAGCCACCTAAAAGACAACTTCCTGAATGGTGGTGAGCTCGTGTTAACAAGAGTAACTCACTGGAGTTTCACGTGCAGTCATTTCAATCAGGGTTTTACCTGTGGTAAACAGCGTGTCTTGATGCCCACTAAGGGGGGTTTTAAATACAGGGAGGGGGAGGGGGGGGGGGTTTAAATACAGGGAGGGGGGGGGGAATCACTGTCCTACTCGTGTTCAACAAATAGATTACCTTAGTTTCTGTCGGGAGGGGAGGGGGCAATATATAAGAACAAACCAAGAAGGTGGGTATACAACAAACTAAAAAGGTAGACATCCAAGGATACATTAAACCAAGAAGGCAGACATACAACAAACCAAGAAAATGAAGGCATACAACAAACTAAGAAGGCAGACATACAACAAACTAAGGATACACCAAACCAAAAAGGCAGACATACAACAAACTAAGAAGGCAGACAGACAACAAACTAAGAAGGCAGACATACATACAAAAAACCAAGGATACAACAAACCAAAAAAGGCAGACATACAACAAACTAAGAGGGAAGACATACAACAAAGAAGGCAGACATACAACAAACTAAGAAGGCAGACATACAACAAACCAAGAAGGCAGACATACAACAAACCAAGAAGGCAGACATACAACAAACTAAGAAGGCAGACATACAACAAAGAAAGCAGACATACAACAAACCAAGAAGGCAGACATACAACAAACTAAGAAGGCAGACATACAACAAAGAAAGCAGACATACAACAAACTAAGAAGGTGGGTATACAACAAACCAAGAAGGCAGACATACAACAAACCAAGAAGGCAGACATACAACAAACCAAGAAGGCAGACATACAACAAACCAAGAAGGCAGACATACAACAAACCAAGAAGGCAGACATACAACAAACAAAGAAGGCAGACATACAACAAACCAAGAAGACAAATATACAACAAACAAAGAAGGCAGACATACAACAAACCAAGAAGGCAGACATACAACGACAAAGAAGGCAGACATACAATAACAAAGAAGGCAGACATACAACAAACCAAGAAGACAGACATACAACAAACAAAGAAGGCAGACATACAACAAACCAAAAAGGCAGACATACAACAAACCAAGAAGACAGACATACAACAAACAAAGAAGGCAGACATACAACAAACCAAAAAGGCAGACATACAACAAACCAAGGATACAATAAACCAAGAAGGCAGACATACAACAAACCAAGAAGGCAGACATACAACAAACCAAGAAGGCCGACATACAACAAACCAAGAAGGCAGACATACAACAAACCAAGAAGGCAGACATACAACAAACCAAGAAGGTAGACATACAACAAACCAAGAAGGCAGACATACAACAAACCAAGAAGGCAGACATACAACAACAAAGAAGACAGACATACAACAAACCACCAAGACTTACCGCCGTCAGCTCAGTGATCATAGAGGTAGAGCTCTCATCCTTACGCTGGGCAGCCAGCAGCAGCTGCTTGAGGTCTGTCGTCTCGTGGGACAGGGCTTCGTTCGTGCTCTTGATCTGGTGGGGAGGTCAGATGGTGAGTACAACAGTGGGTGGTGGTCAGTGTGGGGGTGGGGGTCAGTGGGGGGGGGGGGTCAGTGGGGGGGGGGTCAGTGGGGGGGTGGGGGTCAGTGTGGGGGGTGGGGCTCAGTGATCAGTGTGTGTGTGGGGGGGGGGGGGTCAGTGGTCAGTGTGGGCTGGGGGTCAGTGGTCAGTATGGGTTAGTGATCAGTGTGTGTGGGGGGTCAGTGGTTAGTGTGGGCTGGGGGTCAGTGGTCAGTATGGGTCAGTGTGTGGGGGGCAGTGGGTGTCTGGGGGTGGGGGTAGGTGAGTTGTAGAATGGCTGTATGGGTGGTGGTTAGTGTGGGGTGGGAACAGTGTATATGCGTATGGGTGGTGGTCGGTGTGGGAACAGTGTGTATGTGTATAGTTGGTGGTCAGTATGGGGTCTGGGTCAGTAGGTGAGTACATGAGTGGGTGGTGGTCAATGTGTGTGTGTGTTGCAGTTGTAGTTGGATGGGGGGAGGCTGAATGTGAGTGCAACAATGGCTGCAAGGACTCACAGGCTATGTATGTGGGTGGTACTCAGTATGGGGGGAGGGGAGTCAGTGGTGAGTGAATGGGAGATGGTCAGTGTAGGGGTGGGTGAGGTTAAAAGGTGAATACAACATTTATAAAGTACATAACTAACTACTGGACAGTGGTCAACCATCAAGACTAGACAAGGCTGACGTTCAGCCGTTATAAAGACGTGAATCAAAGTTCGCCACTGTAGCATATTTTGTATGACCTTACATCCAACATCACATAAATGATTATTCGTCTACATCATCCAAATAATTATTGGTCTTGAAAAAGAAACATATCTGTTTTTTTTTTCCAACCAGTGTATGTCACACAAATGCGGGATTAAACCTCAAACAGTCCCCCTTGCCCCCCAACAAGAACATGTTTAGCGGATAATTCTATTCCCATCAAGTAGACGAATGCCGCCCCTTCAGAAAGTAATTTAGCGCAGTCGTGTCTGTGTGTTTGTGTATGTCCGACCATCAATACACCCCCCCCCCACACACACATTTACACCACCAATCCCCGTATCATCTCAAACGCAACCGATTTTTAAAACTCGACTAAATACGGATAATACGACATAAAAAAGTCGTATTTCCATTAAAAAAAAGTCGTGTTTCCATCAGGGCTTAATTCACACCCCCCACCCTTATCCCCCCCGCGAAGGTTATTTAATTTAGAGATGATTTAACAAGATGGAAGCGGTTAGGATCTGACCCTGCAGTGCGCATGTCATGCGGTGGCGCTGCCAATCAATGTCTGAAGGTCTCATCCGACTTAACCGACGGGGACTGTTGACAGAATGGTTGATGGCTAATGGGGGAAGGTGGCGAGGGTAGATTGGGGTAGTGTTTAGCAAGATATGGACAGAGGGGGCGGGGGAAGAAGGGGGCGGGGGGGAACAAGTTAGGTGCCTACACAAGAAGATTGGGTCAGCATTTTAGGTTCTCATGGATTGACATTAACTACATACTCTTATTGATGGCGTTGTTATTAAACATTTTCCCCCTTATGTATATAGTCTATAGCACACACAGATACCACACACCCATATATATATATATATATATATATATATATATATATATATATATATATATATATATATATATATATATATATATATATATATATCAACACTTATCTACTCAACACGTCGGAGTAAAGTAATCGGTTAGGGTACCCTGGGAAATGTGGGCCTAGACAAGCACATGCATTTTATATATATATATATATATATATATATATATATATTTATTTATTTATTTATTTATAGGCTACTTACACATATAGCATATATAAAGAAATACCCATATACGTGTGTGTGTGTGTGTATATATATGCATGTGCTTGTCTAGGCCCACATTTCCCAGGGTACCCTAAACGATTACTTTACTCTGATGTGTTGAGTAGATAAGTGTTGATACTTGACCAGGCCCCAGCATAGATTGGCTACAGGGATCGATACAAGTTCAATCGACCTTTAATCCCATTGTGGTTGGGATTGCTATGGACAGTATGGGAATATGGTGGTGTAGTGGAAGATGTCTAGTCACCAAGATATGAAAGATAGTATGGGAATATGGTGGTGTAGTGGAAGACATTCTAACACCAAGATATGAAAAATAGTATGGGAATATGGTGGTGTAGTGGAAGATGTCTAGTCACCAAGATATGAAAGATAGTATGGGAATATGGTGGTGTAGTGGAAGATGTCTAGTCACCAAGATATGAAAGACAGTATATGAATATGGTGGGGACAGTAAAAGATGTCCAGTTACTTCAGTATTGCAGACGACAGTTCGTAAGATAGAGCCGAGAAAAATAACGAGGACGGTGTGATGAAAGAGTAAAATATGGGGGGGGGGGGTTGAGGGTGGGGCGAGAAAGTGAAGAAAAAAAATTCAAAAGCAGACGGAAAGCGAGTGAGTAATGGAGCAGCAACTATGACAAGCTGGACATTATTGATAATATAAAGTGCTGGGAACGTGCCAGTGGGGGGGGGGGGATACAGCGTATTCAGCACAGCAACAACAACAACAAGCATCAACAACAACAGGTCCGTGAACAATGGGATAGCGATTATTTCAGTGACACGGATATAGAAGTGATCACCGTGAGCTGGTGATCTTAGTAGGGTAGTGACCCTAGTACGGTAGTGACCCTAGTACGGTAGTGACCCCAGTACAGTAGTGACCCTAGTAAGGTAGTGACCCCTGTAAAGTAGTGACCCTTGTAAAGTGGTGACCCCTGTAAAGTAGTGACCCTAATAAAGTAGTGACACTAGTTCAGTAGTGACCCTAGTTCAGTAGTGACCCTAGTACAGTAGTGACCCTAGTTCAGTAGTGACTCTAGTAAAGACGTGATCCTAGTGTATAAGTAACCCTAGTACAGTAGTGACCCCTGAACAGTAGTAACCCTAGTAAAGACGTGATCCTAGTGCAGAAGTGACCCTACTTCAATAGTGACCATAGTAAAGTATTGACCTCAGTACGGAGTGACCCCAATAAAGTAGTGACCCATGTACAGCAGTGACCCTAGTACAGACGTGATCCCAGTAAAAACGTGATCCTAGTGCAAAAGTGACCCAGTTGAAACTATCGAAACGGGTTGAAGTTAAAACGGCTAGGTTTTACATAAATGCTGTTGAGTTAAAGATAATGATGACGAAATGTTGTGTGTGTGTGTGTGTGTGTGTGTGTGTTGTGTGTGTGTGGCGAGGAGGGGGGGTATCGTTCATAACTGTGGATTATCTGACTAAATTATAGCAGAGCCTACATTTTGTATTTCGTTACACTAATAATTTAAAAATATAAAAACACTTATATAAATAATCTTTGAAATGCACTAAAAAAATAAACTTGCTTTCTTAAAAGCCTTGGTCCCTAGTGAGATCTTACATTTTTTAGCGACCAAAGCTTTTATCGAAGAAATCAAGTTTGTTTTACTTTATTATTTACAGAGCATTTAAAAGCTTATTATAATAAAGGTTTTTATATTTGGTTTTTAATTTCGTTATCTCCCCTTATATTATAGACTATAAATTTTAAATTAAATTTTGATGACTTATCTAATTGCTAATTATATAAAAATATTCTTGCATTGTCATGTGAGATGAATATATCTGATAAGTTGGAATAAAATCGCTTTATTAGAAGCGGGTTAAAATTGAGTTACAAGATAGGCAACAACCCAAAGACAAACAAACATACACACAAAGAAGGAATTAAAAGCTAACGATTCACTCTAGTTCTGTTACAACTATTTTTAGAATCTCTGGTGTTACTTCAAGACTCTACTGGGGTGTGGATGTGGGGGGAGGGGGGGGAGTGTGTGGTCTGGTTTTTGTGACGATAGCAGGGAAAGAAACTGGACTATAATTATGTGACGTCATTTATTGACGGCCACCATTTCTCCCCCCTTTTCAACTCTCAAGTTAAAAAAAAAATGTTTTTTCCTATTTTATTGTCCTCACGGCTCACTCTGGTGAAGTTAATATAGTCAAAACTTGCTTTGTGGTGTGTTGGTTACGTTATAAAAAATATAGCGCTCACTCCACTTACCACAAACACACCCACAAGCACGCACTCGCACACACGCACCTTGGAAAGACCACACACTCCCACACACACCACGCACGCAATAGCACACATACACAGCTAGAAAGACCACTCACTCCACTTACCACACACATACACACACCACGCACGCACACACAACGAGAAAGAGCACTCACTCTACTTACCAGAGACACACACACACCACGCACGCACACACACACACACCACGCACACATACCCAACTAGAACGACCTCTCACTCCACACAGACCCACACCACACTCACCCACACACACCCATCACGCACACACCACCCCCACACCACACCCCCCAAACACCCATCACGCACACACCACACACACACCCACCACACACACCCAACAAGAGAGACCAACAGGGTACCATCTCTACTGGAGGCGGGCCGGTATTTACGAGCTACTGTTTTTAGAAATTCCAATTTTCTCCTCCCAACTTCACAAGGACTTGACGTCACGGTTGGTGGAGGGAGAGGGGGAGAGAGAGAAGGAGAGTGAGAGAACGGCAGAGAGAAAGACAGAAAGAGAAACTAAGAGAGGAAGGGATAAAGGGAAAGAAGGAGAAAGAGAGTGAGAGAACGACAGAAAGAGAAAATGAGTGAGGAAGGGATAGAGGGAGAGAAAATGATAGAAGAGAGAATAAGTGAGAGAGAGAGAAACAGAGTGATAGAGGAGTGGGAGAGAGGGACAACGAGAAATACAGAGGGGATTCATTCATACCGCTTGTTTGTGACGATTTTATCTCCACCCCCTTCCCCCCCCTCTCCTCCCCTCCGTCAAAAGTTTTTACAAAAAGCCAACCCCCTATCTCCGAAAATGACGTCTCACCTCAGCCTACAATTTTTTTTAAAACA